CAAATAAATTTTTGAAATTGGCACAGACACTCAGAGCCTGGAAATTTTAAAATTCATTAGTTGTTACATGAACAGTAGAGGAACACTATGAATAGTTTGTCTTCCTTCAAGTTTTCGTCCTACAACTACTATGTGCGGGGATAAAATCAGCTAACACATATACAAAGAAATCTAACATCATAAATTTTATAAAATTTTGATAGCATTTCACATTGGTCTTCAAAATACATCAAATGAAAGTGATTATTCATGACCACAATTACGTATGTCTCCAAAGAACAATACAAAATTATCTCAACCAAAATTTTATTAAATTTATGCATAAACTTTAATGTACACGTTATAACATATTATAAAAAAAATTATTTTTCCAAACCGATAGGACAATTCTAGATTTAAAACAAATAATTAAAATTTTAATCATTTGTACTAAATTTCAAACGAAAATTACAATTCATTCAGTGTTTAACTATCATTATAATAAATTTTAATACAATTAAATTATTTAAACATACGACATCTAATTATAAATATAAATTCCATAATAAAAATATTTTAAAAATATAAAAAAATGCCAAAAAAACACACTAAAAAATTGTCTAAAATGAAAACAATAATGATGAAGACAAAATATAACCATGTCACATTCAAAAAACAACAGACAAAGTGCAATGAGAACTAAAAATACAATTTAATCAAATCCAATTCCTAAAAAGTTTGAATAATTATATGCAAACCATGGTATCCAAAAATTTGGCAAAGAAAAATACCAAAATCACATCTAACAACCAATCAAAAGACAATGTGTAATAGATTGGAAACTAAAATCTGAAAACTAATCGTGTATATTGGAGGATGGTGTCGTCGCCACAATAGAGGAGTCATCACCGGTGAAAAAGAAAAGATAACTCGATGCTATTTAAAATAGTATCCATGGATGAAAGCAATCGGTCAAAACGAATTAAAATCATACCTAAATCATCCATGTAGCATGCATTTGTATTAAATGAAGAAAAAAGTTACCTTTGGTGGTTGTCGCGTTTGTTGTCGAAACTGTTTTAAGACCTGAGAAGAGAGAGTGAAAAAAAAAATAGAAAGGATATGCTCTCATGCTGTTTTTCTTAATTCATAAAACAACATATGACGTGTGACGCCCTAGGAGGCTAACATCGTGTCACATTAGCTATCAGATAAGTAAGGGGCTGACTTCTAATGGGTACAAAAAAATGACTTCCGCGTTGCATTTTTTTATTGATTTAAGCAATAATAAATACAATCTTCTTAATTGTATGGCATTATAAGAGTATAAATAATCTTTTGAGAAAGATTCTTTTAATAATTTAAAAAATTATTAAACATCAGCCTTTTAATTGTCCGAAATCTAATGTGTTATAACGTCAATGTTTTTAATTTTCAACTTCGTGAACATTCATTTCCAATAAGATATTTTAAATCTTTACAAAAAACTAGAGGCATAATATCATGTTTGGTCCATATTTTTGTAAACTTTGTTCGATGTGAGACTCATTTTTTTAGAATTTTCAATGTAGTCCCTAATTTCGTAATTTATATTCAATTTGGTCCTTTATGCTAACGAACGTTTAAATCTTTAACGACAAAATGTCCACAGCACCAATTAATGAATTACATGGTAGTTATTAGCTGACGTGGCTAGGACCATAGTTGACTAAGGATGGTCGCGCCAATGAGGGCTTGACATGTGACAACCTCTTTCTTCACCCAAAAATTAGGGTTTCAAATTTGCATTTGTAGATTGGGGAAAAGCTTGCTCCAGTGTTGTCACGCGAGATTTATGGTTTGAAGGAGATTTCTGGTTCTCTGGGTTTTGATCTTCTATGTTTCAGGTTAATGATGGTTGGTGGAGAATGAAGAAGCTTCAAGACAACGTTGCTCAAAGGCACAAGGAACTCGCAATTTGGTTTTGCGATGCTTGTGACATAGCATTTGGAACAGCGACGCAGCCAGCCAGTATGTGATATGTTCGCGAAAGGTTTCTGGTTAAGGTTTCGAAATCTCTGATGATGGAGGTGCGAAGATGGTGGTTGGTCATGAGTGTGGTAGCAACACGTTTCATCGCGATTGAGATTGCTTCTCTGAAATTCTCCTTGCAGGTTGGCGTGGAGAAGGTTGGGTGAGATACTAGCATTTATGCGGCGGAGGATGTTCTGGTGGCCGTGGTGGCACAAGACTAGTGGTGGTCCAATGAGTCCTTCGCGTGACGACGACAGCTAGGGTTAGGTGGTGGCTAGAGTTTCTGTGTTGGGGGAAATTAGGATTTCTGGAGATAGGAGATGATGATGACGTGTCAAGGATGATGTGTCTAGTCAGCTAATGACGGTCATGTAATTCACTGATTGATGCTGTAGACATTTTGCCGTTAACGATTTAAACATCGTTAGCAAATAAGACTAAATTGAACATAAATTACGAAATTAAGAACTACATTGAACATTCGAAAAAAATGAATCCCACATCAAACAAAATTGACAAAAATAAGGACCAAAGCAAAAAATTAGACGCTGATTTTTAACCAAATATTATATATATATATATATATATATATATATATATATATATATGTGTGTGTGTGTGAATGAGTAGTTCGACTTCTAATTATTCATTTTATTTAAAAAAAATAATATTAGTTATTTTTTACGGTAATTTTTTTTTAAGACCGACGTTAAATACTAAATGTTAATAGTCCATTTTATACTGTCTAATACTCACGTAATCTAATCAATACTTTTGAGTCTTAAAACAATTCTAATATATTTATATAAGTTAACATAAATCCATAAATAAATAAATAAACGATATACAATAAATTATAGTGCATTACATGATCTTAACCTTTATTGATTCAAGCTTACACAATCTTTGTTTGATGAATGTAATTTCCATGTAATTTATTTTTGTTTTTAAATCATCTTCTTTTAAAAATAATTGAAGGTATATATTTGCTTTAATTATGTATTTTTAACTCATGTGATCTTTGCTTAATGTTTTAATTATAACTTTTTCTATAAATATTATTTTCAATTCTAGTTGCATTGAATTTTATATTTTTTGAAACTTCAAAATGGACATATAATTTGTAACATTGATTCTCATAACTTCAGTTTTTTTTATTACATGACAAATTAAATTAAAACATGATTAGATCAATTGATTGTCAAGAAAAAAATGGTAATAAAAAATGCAATTAAATTAAAGTACATTGAACTGCATTTAAGCGAACTTTAATAATTTTACAATTGGTCGACCACTCAATAATCTATGTGATTTCAATTTTGATTTTATTTTTTCTTTTATCTTTGTGATTTTTCATATACTAATTTCATTCTTTTGTCTCTCTTTACTTTATTCTATTTTAGAGTTTCTTTTTAGGTTTAGGATTCTAACTGAGAAAAACAATAACTTTTTTTAATTATTTTTATTAATGATTGACATCAAAATAAAATTTGCAAGTTTATGAAAAAATTGAGACTTGAGAAAAATAAAGAAATCGAATAATACAAGTTTATGTTCGAGTTTACTTTCTTGACTACTAGAACCATATTTTGTTGTTTTAACTCATTTTCTTTTTATATATACTTACTTTTAGTAGTGTTTTATGTATTATAATTTTTTATATATATACAAATAAACATATATATGAACTATAATATTTGAATTAGGCTATTAAAAAATTCAGAAGAAGAGAAAAGTTAAGGCTTTAATTGCATAAAAAAAAAGCTATGAATAAATTTATAAAAAGAAATAAAAAAAAATGAGTTAGAAAATATGAGTGTTCGTTGAGTGAACAAAATAATATATATATATATATATATATATATATATATATATATATATATAGGTAAAAGCAATAATATTAATTTTTAGTTTTTATTTAACATTAAAAAAATTAAAGTCACTAGTAAAGTTTTGAAAAACATAATACCGAAATCTTAAAAACTCTTTAAAATATGATAATTTGTTGAATCTTGATGAATTTGATTTATTTTCGTAATTAAATATCTTAAGGGAAATTATAAATTTGGAAAACGATAAATCTATTAACATTCTTAATTATATAGAAGAATAGATCCTTTTACAAATACTTATAGAATAATACTAACAGTTCTAATAATAGTTGCTTTGGTCGAGGAAAAGTTTCTCAAAGTTAAAGATTAAAAAACTTATTTAAAATCATCAATTATTCAATAAATATTAAACATATTAGCCTTAATATTTATTAAAAGTAAATATTAAATAAAATTAATTTTAATAATTTAATAAATAGTTTTACATAAAAAATTAAAAATATAAATTTTAAATAAAAGTCTCATTCTTATATATCTATCTATCTATATATATATATATATATATATATATATATAATATTATACAATGCTAATCATATATTTAAGTATTCGATATCATAATATAAACAAGTTGATGCGAAACAATTTTAGTAAGCATTCGACCATCAAACTTATCATTACATTAATTTAAGGTAAGATAAGATGAAGGCACCATTCAGAAATATGAAAATTTAGTCTCTAAATATTTGTTAACTATCCAACCTTTGAATATTTAAAATATTAAGATAGAGGAAACAGCGCAACTCAATTTCGTTTAAGTTATTTTACAATCCTTGCAAGAACAAACTTCATTTTAAATATATTTAGACAATTTTCTTCTTTAATTTTAAAGAAGAAAAAAAAAAGCAATTAGTTTCTCTATAACTTAAATAAAATAATATTTAGTTTATGCATAAATTAATTTGTAAAATTCTCTCATCAAATTATTTTAATTTTTTTCAAAAGTGTTTGGGATATTCCAAACATGTTTTTTTTTTCTAATTCCATTTTTGTTTGTTAATCCTATTCTTCTTATTAAGGCAAACAGTAATGGAAAGCATGTATGAAAAAGCAAATGTAAAGCATTATGTTTGAAAAGTTTTCCACATGGCTCTTCTCTTATAAAATCCCCCCTTCATCACATTCTCAATCTCTCAAACTCTTCTCTTCTCTTCCTCTTCTTCTCACCACAAACCAAACCCGAAATGGTGAAATTCTCAAAGGAGCTTGAAGCTCAACTAATACCAGAATGGAAGGAGGCCTTTGTCAACTACCGACAGCTCAAGAAATACATCAAAATCATCAAACTCAAAAGACTTCTCAACCAATCACAGCCCCCCCAACAAACCTTTGGTCGTTCCATTTTCGATTCTCTTCGCTTCGTAATCAACAAGCTCTACAATTCACACAACGACAACAACATGCAAGATATCATTCAGGTAAACTATGTTGCAAAAGATATCACTATATAGATATGTGTGTGTATAGTTTATAAAGTCTCTGCATGTGTGTTTCTGGTTTGTCTTGTTTTTCCTTCTTGTGGTTCGGGTAAAATATGAGTTCCAGGGACATGTCTAAAACCTTTGCGTGTGTTTATGATTTTATGTGTCTTTGTCTTTATCATGTACTTTTGTTTCAGAAAAATGAAATGAAGAAATAAATGACATCGTTTTTAGACAGTGAAATTTCTTCGAGGCTATTAATTACCACATACTTAAAGTTAACTAGCTGGTAATTTTGTAGGAAATTAACATAATTTAAGTAACTTGTTTATGGCTAAGAGGGCTTGGAATTACGTGAGTATAACAGCCACGTGAATTGCTTGTGGTGAATATGAACCACGAAAAAGTGAAAAGAGTCAATGATCTATGGTTAGTATGTGTGTGTTTGGAATGTGGTGTATTACATTAAACATCTTGGTAGGTTTAAAGCTATTCTCTTTTATGGTGAAAAAATATGTGATTATTAATCTTTTGATCATTAAATATATAACTTTTAATTTTAACCTGCTATAAATCCATTATTTTATTATCCAAAAATCATACGGTTTTTCTTTAGTATGGCGAGAAAACGTGATTAGAGTCTGATTTTGTTAAGCTTTTGATTCTTGATGAATAGCTGGTAATCTAAACATAAATCCATTATTTTATGATTCAGAAATGTTAAAGTTATAATATAATATATACGTTAAAGAAAAAGTGAGATTTTGTTAATCTATTATGATCCAAAAATCAGCAATGTGCAATAGGAAAAGTAGAAGGAAATATATAAATATATAAACAACACAAGGTAATGAAGAATTTACCTCTAATTATTATTAATTATATATATAGTAGCATACCCTTTAAAATTCATATACTCACAAGGAGACTGAATTGGCGTTTTAAGAGAAAATACTAATAATAAAATTTATTAAAAAAATTACATATATTTTAATACGTAAAACATTGAAATTGGGTTCCGTATCAAATCTTGTCCTTAAAATAATAAATAAAAAAGATGAAAGTGGAGAATGTGAGAATGGCATTAAGGGCTAAAAAGCAAGTTTAGTGGTCGTTTTTTTTTTTCTGAAACCCCTTTCTGCTTTTTCTTTCAAGAGTTTCTCATTCTCTCACGAAATCAAGGTGAAAATGGATAGTGGGAACACTATTGCATACACACCCATCACGAAACCATTGGGCACCCTAGATAAAAATAGAAATTTACATTTTCATGAATATAAACTCGTACATAATTATTTAAAAACGAAAGAGGTAGCTACATAAAATTATAATTTGGAATATTGACTCATAGATACCTATATTTTTTTTAAAAAAGAAATTAATTTTGTAAAGATAAATTAAACTTAAATTCATCTCTTATATTACAGGTGAAGAAAACAATAACAGAAGAAAGTGAAGAAGTATATGAAACTGAACTGGCACAGTTGTTTGTGGAAGAAGATGAGGTGCAAGTGTTTTTTGCAAAGCTTGATGGAGAACTTAACAAGGTTAACCAATTCTACAAGAAACAAGAGATTGAGTTTGTTGAAAGAGGAGAAATATTGAACAAGCAGCTTAACATATTGCTCGACCTTAAGCAACTTCTCAGTAACACACGCAGAAAAAATCACTCTCTCAGACCTTCAAATACTGAAATTTTCCCTCACTCTCCTAGCCAACGTTCAGGTGAACAGATTTTTTATTTATGTATTGAAAATAGGCAATTTAAAATATATAAATAAATATAAATTTCACTTATAAAAATGATTTTATATTATTGAGTTAGATTTAAAATTTACTTCTTAATATTATATATTTAGTTTTGATAAATCTAAAAGTCTCACGTTGAAAAAAGTAATGATAATAATAATTTATATACTATTTCTTATAAAATACATTTTAAAGATAAAATGGTAATGGAATTGCTCAAACAAATAATAAATGGAATGCTATATATTTTAATGGATTTGACTTCCGAGCCATGCTCTTCTTCTTAAATGCAAAATTTCACTAATTGCGAAAACAAATAAACTAACTTTAGTTTTAATTGAGTAATAAATGTAGAAGAAAAGTGTTCACTAGATGTGACACGCTTGTAATATATAGCTTGAAGGTTTCTTATAAAATATAAAGGTTCTTCTTGTTTTATTTAGTTACGTTTGATTTATTTGTGATATAAGTTGTTTTGTTTATCGTATATTCGATTTAAAAGATAATAAAGTGAAAAATTAAATCATTAGAAAATCATTCTTAATAATAATTTATATGTGTGTGTGCCTCTTAAAATATGTTTTTTTTTCTTATTTCATTTATTTATAACTTATGCTTAGGAAACAAAAAATCAATATATGTTATTAGCATATACCATGATAAAATTTTCAATATTCTTAATTAATATAAAAAAATTGTTAACATAATTAATTTCATGAGTACTTATTAATTCGAAAATTTCACATAAATTAAAGATAGGAATAATTTTACGATTTTGTTAAAATGAATTAAGTTTAAACTTGTTAATTATATTCATTTGTGTATGTAGAAAGTGTTGGAAAACGAAAAAATTCATCAGATTCGGAGGTTTCAGAGATGGATGAAGTGATCTCAACGTTGGAAAGGAATGGTTTAAGTTTTGTGAACTCAGCAATGAGGGTGAAGACAAAGAAGGGAAAGCCTCAAACGGCCATAAGAATTGATATTCCGGCCACCACTCCAACGGCGGTTACTTCCATGCTGTGGGAGGATTTGGTGAATAGTCCAATGAAAGCAGCAGGGTGTGGAGGAGAGGTCATCAACAAGAGAAAAATTCAGTGTGCTGAGAAGATGATTAGAAGTGCTTTTGTGGAGCTCTATAAAGGTCTTGGTCTTCTCAAAACTTATAGGTAATTAATATATATAAATTACTTTCGTTTTACTTAATTTATCAGTATGTTGTATTTATTTATATATAATTTTTGTTTTACGGTACTAATAACAATAGTATTTTAGAAACAATATTAGAGAATTAATTTCAATTTTTTTTATTATAAACAACAATGGAAATAGTGCTTACATAATTACTTGATCACTTATCAATTATTATACTGATCATGTTATGTGAATAAATTGATTGCGTATGTAACCGAACCGTTTTAAAAATAAATAAATAAATTACATGTTTTAATATATGACTTATATTTAAGTAAAATTGATTTTTAAAAAAATAAAATGGTTTTTTAACGGCCAAAATTAATTATTAATTTAAGATATATAATAAAATTTTCAGAATCCATCATGATTATAATAGTCTAAAATGTAAGTAACTTTTTTGTGGTTATATCTTGGTTAAATTACGTATATGATTTAAAAATATATAACCAATATTATGATCATTAATGGAATGTTGACAAGAGGAGAATGTGGTAGTTTATCCTTCAATTGGAATGATGAAAAAAGTGATTATATCATGGGAAAATTATATATATATATATATATATATATATATATATATATATATATATATATATATATATATATATATATATATATATATATATATATATATATATATATATATATATATATATATATATATATATATATATAAGTTTAATTCATACAAAAAAATTGACACAACTTTTAACTTAAAATTTTAAAATATTAAGTATTTAACTTTATATTTTTACCTAATATGAAATTTAGATTTTCACTTAAATTTTAAAAAATATTGTATTTATAATGAGACTAATGGAGTGTGGAGTTGCATGGATAAGTTTCACTCTACCACGTAAGAAGAAAGAATGATTTGGTAGATAGAGGTTGGTGTGATAGGTAGGATATATCATCCAACACGTTTCTCCTAGGATATAACCTAAGTTTCTACAAATTAATCCTTAACTTATGTCATCCAACACTCATGCATGTTTCAAAACAATGGAGAACAAATCCAAATTCTTCATCTTTTTGCTCTTCTCAACCTTATAGCTTAGCTTTCTTCTCAACTTTACATGATGTCCATGACGATGAGAACAATGACATGCTAAAGATGCAATGAGACTACGAAACTTTTCCTTGGTGCAAAGAAATTCTTACGTATCCATTTCAGCTTTTGCGCATGCCAATAAACACGTAATATATCTATTTTTCATTGAATGGCATTATATATAAATAGGTCATACCCTACCATAAGTCCCTTTATGGTAGCATTATATATTACCCATGTGAACACTAGTTTTGTTCCTAACCACATATTCTATCTTCTTTGTAGTTCGTTGAATATGGTAGCATTCACCAAGATACTCAAGAAATTTGACAAGGTATAACTCCATCACACTCATAAACATGATGCAACACTATATAATCTGTATAAAACAAAAATACCTAACATCACATAAAAGTGATTTACTTTTCTATAGTTCATCAAAGAATACCATTTTTAAATGATCCTTGGTCACATCAATCGGAGGTTACGTTTATATTTGAAATCAAGAGTGTTTTTAGATAGATAGTATTGTAAATATGCGGATGAACTTATATTTTAGTTTACTAAATATGGTAACAAAACAAGTATGTTTTGTTTGTTCGTTTTTCAGTTACATTTTGTGTATGTAAACATAGTTAATGTTGTTGGTTTTACTATAGTGTATGGTGGTACTCAACCTAGTTATGGGAAGAGTAAAGAGAAATGAAAGCACATTAAATTAGTGTTTTGTTACATTATTAATGACGCTTCGTTTGGAACCAACTTGCAATTGTGGGCTATATTCTTCACGTGCAGGTAGTAAGAAATATAACAACTTATATCAATATATTCAACTCCATATGTTACCAAACCTAATTTCCAAACACAAAAACAGTTATCTTCTTTCTTCTTTATAGTTATTGGGTCATGTCCTTTTTTTTAATTTATAGAAGAGTGTAAGTAACATACTGTTGACTGGAATTTTATATATATTTATATGTAATACATAAATGTATTTTTTTTATGAAAAAAAACTAAAAATAGGTGATATAGAGATTGAAGGTGTATAGGTTTTTCATGATATATTATTGTGAAAATGTTAATTTTTATAACAATAATAATCACAATTTTGATTTTTAACATTTCTTTGACATGGGTGTGTAATCCATCTTTGCTGAATTTTCGTACACAATTTTAAAATTTAATAACACTTGATGTGTTAATTGAGTGTTTTTGCTAAATTAATTACTATGAAAATGATGTTAATTAACTCTGTGACATTGGCATTTGGAAAGGTATCTTGTCAAAAAGCTTCTACAAATTATTTGAAGGAAGTGAAGAGATCCCATTTCATTAGTTCTGATAAGGTATGATTTATTTGCCCATGATATAAGCCCTAGGAAAGGAATAAAAGAAAGAAAAAAAATTATTCAAATATTAATAGTTTTTTTTTATTATTATTTGATCCTTTCTGAAATTGTTAGAGTGGAGAATGTGATACACTAGTACTAATTAATAATTGGTGTTATATGCAAATACAATACTTTTGAGTAAAGGTTGTTAGACTAATGGATGAAGTGGAATGCACATTCACAAAGCACTTTACCAACAATGATAGGAAAAGAGCAATGAAGTTTTTAAGACCACAACAACAGCCAAAAGCTTCTCATATGGTCACCTTCCTTGTTGGTAATGCCTCTCTCTCATTAACAACAACTTATTATAAAGAAGAAGAAAAATATTAAAATTTATATTTTATTGACAATTAAAAATATATTTGAACATAATATAAAAATATAAACAAAAAAAAATAGTCTCCACTATGTTATTCCATTATTTTTTTGCCTAATGGTAGCTGCATCACTTAAAAATAATGCAATAGATGCCAAAATTTGAAGTGTATTGCAACCAGTCAGTGGCCACTAAGAGTGGTGAACCCCACTAATATAGTTTCAATAAGTCAACTTTTTGTTTCCCCTTTTTCTAACAATTCATTGATTTTTATACGTTACTTCCACTGTAGGGTTGAGTACAGGTTGTTCTGTATCCTTGTGTTGTGTATACGTAATCTTGGCTCATTTGTGTGGTATATTCTCTCCCAACACAGAGCAAGCATATATGGATGCAGTTTACCCTGTTTCCAGGTGATAAAATGCATGGTTCCTATTCAATTTACTTCATAAATGACTCTTGTTTACGTCATTTTAACCAAAACTATTCAACATCCTGCTTCCTTTATCTAAAGTATTCAAACATAAACAATCATCAATGTTGAGAATATAAGTGAACCTAATTATTTCATTGGATAAAAAATAAAAAATTGGAACAACAAATAAAGGAAAAGATTCATAAATTCATTTGTTCTTACCACATTCAAAAAATTGAAGGCCTGAACAATTTAAATACTTTTTACATGTTTCAATGTGTTTTTTTTAAAGAGAAAACCGTGACGGAGTTACACGCTTCAAAACAGACAATACCTTGATTGTATCGTGATTGATCTTAACGATGTCACTAAGCTAAAATCATCTTTAAGAGATTTATCAATAAAGAAGAAAAACAAAAGGATAACAACTTAGTATGTAGTTTTACTTGAAATCACATAATTGATGTCACTTTAAGAATAGGACTACTAAGTTAGTAACTACTTAAACAGCTAAGCTGAAAAATTAAAACAAGAAAACTTATATTACAATGATTTTTGTGCAGCATGTTTGTATTACTAAGCCTACACCTGTTTATGTATGGATGCAATCTGTACATGTGGAAGAGTACGAGAATCAACCATAATTTCATATTTGAGTTTTCACCAAGCACAGCACTGAGACACAGAGATGCATTTCTGATGTGCACCACTCTCATGACAACTGTGTTTGGGGCAATGGTGATGCACCTGCTTCTAAGGGCTGCAGGTTTTTCTCCTAGCCAAGTTGATGCTATTCCAGGAATTGTTTTTCTGGTTAGTCCAATGGCTATTGCTTTTTTTCATGTTACTACGAAAAAAATACCATTGTTTTGCTTGAAACTGAAACTCCATACAATGATTTATGATAGAATTTATATGTAGTGTTGCTCAAGTCAAATCTTTGTGTGCTGATTATCAACTTCCATTTTCAGTTCTTTGTAGGCCTTCTCATTTGCCCATTTGACATTTTTTATCGCCCTACTCGTTTCTGCTTCATCCGTGTTATTCGCAACATAGCTTGCTCTCCATTTTATAAGGTAAACTTCTTCCATGTATGAGAAAAAAATCTATGCGCAGATATGTGAAAGGAATTTACACTGACATTCAATCAGAAGCATAATGTATGTTAGGTTTATTGAACTTTTAGAAAAGTTATTACAAAAGTCATACCTACCATGTTAAAACTCTCTATACTATATGTAAGAGTTTGATGCATTGACATGCCACGTTGCATGTAGTCTAAGTGCAAGATTGAGCTTGTAGTGTTTTTTAATTTAGCTTATTATTTCTACAGGTTCTTCTGGTAGACTTTTTTATGGCTGACCAACTAACTAGCCAGGTGATCTTACTACATATCCCATAAGAAGTTAATTTTGTTTCCCTTTGCTTCTCAAATATGCATACTAATAATCAAGATTAAATTGTCTGTTATGGGTTTCAGATTCCATTGCTAAGGCATTTGGAAACAGCAGGTTGTCACACTTTTGCTAGAGTTTTCAAGTCACACCACCCAGAGACTTGCCATTCTGGAAGGCTGTACGTAGAAATAACCTATCTCATATCATTTTTGCCATATTGGTGGCGTGCATTGCAGGTATGCCCTTGGTGATGCATGATAATGTATAGAATTTATATCCATTTTTTAGACAGTTCATTATGTTGTGAACTAACACATGGTACTTGAATGCCACATGAGCAGTGTGCAAGAAGATGGTTTGATGACAATGATATTAACCATTTGGCCAACATGGGGAAGTATGTTTCAGCAATGGTTGCAGCAGGAGCCAGAGTGACATATGGCAGGCAAGATAATAATCTATGGTTTGCTATAGTCTTTATCACTTCTGGGGTGGCCACAGTTTACCAATTGTATTGGGATTTTGTCAAAGACTGGGGATTTTTCAATCCCAACTCCAAAAACCCTTTGCTAAGGGATGATCTAATTCTGAAGAACAAAAGCATATACTACATGTCTATTGTAAGTATTCTTTCACCAATTTGTTGCATGAATGTTAGAATCATGAATTAGTCTTTTGATCACAAAGGGGCGTTGGATTTCACTTTTCAGGCATTGAATGTTGTCCTGAGAGTGGCTTGGGTGGAGACTATCACGCACCTCAATGTGGGACCTGTTCAAAGAAGGCTACTAGACTTTTTTTTAGCTTCACTTGAGGTTATTCGAAGAGGTCATTGGAATTTCTACAGGTACTTTCTCAAACATTTTTTAGAACATCTCAAAATGACTTCTTTTTTGTTTTGTTTTACCATGAAATGGTGAACAAAATTCACAGAATTTGACAATTTCTGCATGAACACTACAGATTGGAGAATGAACATCTAAACAACGTAGGACATTTCAGGGCAGTGAAGGCAGTTCCTCTACCCTTTCGTGATATAGACTCAGACAACTGAAATGATTTTCTCACAGGTGTGCACAGATTGTCCTGTGAAAGAGACTTGCAATTGCCCTAAGGGAATAAAATTTTGAAGGTCACATCCCTCACCATGCATTGGATACCGGTTAATTGAAGTATCAATGGAAAGTACAAACCAATTTTAGTGCCAAAAAAAATGCATAAAAGATGGCATTTTGTCGTGTGAATTGGCTCTGACAGCTTTTGGATTTCATGTTCTAGATCAGCATCATTGGTAACTTGTTGATTTAGAATGTGGGTTTGAAGATCATGTATCCAATGTTTTGTAAATTGCAATTAAGAAAACTGGAAGCGTTGATTTAATTTGTAGAAGTGAGATGAAAAATAGTTATCTAATAAATGCGAATGGAAACTTAACAGCTAACATAAAATTTGATCTTCTAAACATTTATGCCATAAGTCAATCAATGGTGTTCCTTTACTGTTTGAGTAAAAAAGTGTTCATTCATTCATAAACTGTAACATTACTAAAAATTAATAACTTTTTATAATAATTTAAAAGTCACTTATAAGATCATTTATATTAACATTGTACTAAAATTAAATTCTTACAATGTTCTCTTTATTTTTTTGTAAGAAACAGGTAATGATGTTTGTATTCACAAAAATAACAGTATCTGGCTTCTTATTAAAAGGTTGAACTACATATACTAATTTCTCCAACTATTTTTAAATTCATCTCAATTTGAGCTCATTGAAACTGAATTACAATTATTAATTTTTCTTATAACTTACATTTTTAATGTGAAATTTGTGTGTTCAAAGTTTAATCACATTTAACTCTATAAAAACAACTCAATCAAAATTTAAAATAAAAACACTAAATACGTAAATAACATCCTTAAAATAAAATAAATAAATACAAAATACACTTGGTAATGTTACAATTTTGTAATCAAATCAAATAAATGATTTTATTTAACAACATCAACATTTCACCCAAGTGAGAAGATATACTCAAACTAATCACAACAAAACGAAAAATAATAATAATATCGTGAAATACTAAATTTTATTTACACATCATACCTTTTCCGAGAAGTGAATTTATATACAGAGTTGAAAAGGAATATTTATCCATGTGATTACAAGAACAAGATTGTGTCATCATATTAATGTGAAATGGCACTTCTGTTCTTCTACTTTAGATTCCCCTTTTTTATCAGGACTTTTGAGTTCCTTGGTGTAGCATATGCTCAACCAAATGTATCTGAAATGCCAAGTTAAATGATTAAGGATCAATTTCAGCACATTCAGCATGATGCACATAACAAGTCAACGGTCTATTGATTCAGAATCAAAGAAGCTTTTCAATGGTCATTTTATGCATAAATAGATTGAATATTGAAATATACAGAGTCAAGGAATACTATTGGCTTGACATATATCAGTGACAAGTGGTCACCCTGGAAATGCACCTATTGCATAAAATACCAACACCAAAGCACCCATATCTAACATAATTAATTCCCTCTAAAGTATAACTTCAGTCCTCGGCATACCAAGTAAAAAAAAAAACAGCACACAATGACACATTCTTAAGAATTAATCATAACTATCAAACTATTAGATGCCTCCACATAGCAGGTCGATCTCTTGATATGAGAAGAGCACGAGAGCCAAGATAATCAAAGGAAGGACAGTACATATCATCTGGGCCAATTACTTCTCTAAAACTTTGAGCACTTGAGTGATCCGTGTTGAGAACCCTTAGTGCATCATCTTTGACAGCATCAAACACAAATAGTCCTTGGCCACAAACACCCATCGCAAAGTCAGAATTACCCCAGACTTGGGAGATTGCTGCATGGTGTGAGTGTGCATTGGATTCTGGGAGAGGATAGGTGGTGAACAGGCCTTGTCTGCGCAATGAAAACTGTTGCAGCATTGTTGATTGCTTCTTGCCCATTGAGCTTGTGTTGGAGCAACCAATGAACACAGAATCACCACGACAGAAAACTGACTGCACATTCACACCAACTTTTGATATCCTTAGGCCCACACCAGACTTCTGGCGAAAGTCCATGATATTGATAGAATCTGAGGTGCAGAACACACCCTCGTTTCCTTCAGCATCTGATGAACTCATTCTGCAATGTTATATTTCTAAACTTGGTTAATTATTGGGAAAAATGCTAGCGAAAATGCATGAATTTTGTACTACTAAAGAAAATTCCTTTTTCCTCAAGGACTAAAACCAAGCCCTTTAGGGACGTTTGCTAGCTCTTTAATTTTCTCTCATTTCAATTTCTAATTTCCAACATATCACATTGTAAAAAAATGTTTTCAGTTTCTCCTATACAAATATTTGTAAGCAGAAAACATCATATAACTTTTTTGAAATTAGAAGATGAGAATGGAAATTAAAACTCCCTTCTATTTTCACAAAAGTTATCCGATTATATGAAGAAAATTTAATGCTCTTTCCAACGTTGAATAACTTTCAATATTGTATGCTCTACAAAATTTGAAGAACTATCCACATATTATTTGATTGGAGAACATGACATCAAGGAAACGATGTAATTGATCTAAGTTTGGCATCTTCCAGTTTCTTAACAAATAACAAAATGAATTGCAACTATCAGGTCTAAACTAGAATTTCAATATAATGACAAGATAGCTAAAACATGTTCCTGTTTGTGTGCCATCAGTAGAAAGAACGAATACAGAAAATAACTAAGATATAGTTTTCGTGAATAAAAAGGCAGCATGCCACCAAGCTGTTAAGAGGCAAATAAATAAAAGAGTGACCTCAGAAGACAGAAACAGAATATTTTAGATAAAGACAAGAAGCAAGAAGTTAAGATTAAAACAAACTCACCTTTTGCGAACCCCTCCACCCAATTCTGCATCAGTGTTGTTCACATGGAGAGCAGAAACTTTTCGACCATCCAAAGGAATAGAGAGCAGAGCCTGAGGAGTAAGTGAGTTCACATCCCACAAAGAAATGGATTCAGCTTCAGCTACCACTATTTTGCCTCTGTTCCTCCACTGCAAAGGGCTGCAGTAATCCATGGCTAGAACAGGCTTCTCAACGTCCCATTTCATGATTTGCTCCCCATCACGAACATCAAAAACTTTCACAGCTTTCTGTGAACTGGCAGTTGAGATGATGAGAGGTCCACAGGGCCTGTACCAACACTGCTTAGCTTCTGCTGCCACAATGCCAGAGGTGGAATTTCTTCTTTGCACAACATTGTTAGGCAAGGGTCTAAGTGCAATTCTTGAGGAGGTTGTTCCAGCATCTACCTGCAAAGCTCGCACTTCTTTGGTGTAAAAGTCCCACGAGCAAAATCCTGAATCCATAGTATTGCCAGCAGATGCAGCTACTACAAACCTTCCCGAGCAACCATCAGAACCAGGGGCACGAATTACCCAACAATCTCTCCATATGTTGGGTGAAACTTCTGCAGGTGGCATATATACAGCTTTTTCCTGAAAGCATGATAAATTGTCAGCAAAAATAATGCTTCTTTGTTCTTTAAACAATTCCAATATTACTATTTTTTTCACGTTTCAAAATCTCTTTTGGAGACCTTCAAGAAATATAGTACTAAATGATAATCAACAATTATGCGAATGACTGCCTCGATATTCATTACTATCAACGTTCAAATAAAAAAGAACTTGATGACACCAAAATTAAAGACACTTGCTGAAACTCTATGGGTCCATATGAACCATTAATTATGTTTTATGGAGAACATTCAGATCTCACCATTAGATCTAAACGTGGGTCATTTTTCAACATTGAGCATTAATTATAATTTTTTAAACTAATCATCCATTTCAAGCTTTTGCATCATTTCAAGCTTTTGATAACTTTTTTTCGTAAGCACTTTAGGAAAGAGTTAGAAGTAAGCATATTATTGTTTCAAAATAAATTGAACCAACCCAAACTGAAAATTGATAGCATCACATAAATAACCACAGTGCAAATGACCTACGACAGTATTCAACACTATCTACGTTCAAATCAAAGATGAACTTGGGGAGACCAAAATTAACAACACTAAATTGATATTTTAAGAAGGTCATTCAATCCTCTCTTAGTATCTTTAGTTGAGAAGATTCATAATTTCGGATCCTATAACTAAAGTCCAATATAAATGGCCACAAAAACAAAAACGGAAAATTATAATCAATCATGTAATGAATCACCTACATCTATTTTGACCATCATTTCATTCTCAACTAAAAAGATCTACTCCTAAGACCAAATCAAGACACTACTCCACAATTTGACATTCAGAATCTGCAACAAATGAAGAACAAATACCTCACAATTGGCAATATCATAATAGCTGCAAGAACCATCGTGGTGAGTCAGGAGGACTGCTTCACCTTCCGCAACAAACCACCCACCACAAGCAACCTTGTTACCGATCTCGTTCAGCCTAAAATTGAAAGCCTCGTCCATCTCCTCCACAACCGCCCCTTCCTTGTTCTCCTGATCATCAAACTCCTCAAGCTTCTCATTCGCCGTGAGCATCGTATCAATGCCGTTCCTCGGATCACTGCATCCCCCATTCCCACCACCCTTTTCCTTCACTTCCTCCCCAGCATTCACCTTATCAATAAAGGCCAAAAACTCAACTGCAACTGAGTTATCTTCAACAGGGCTCAACACCTTCTCTTTTTCCAAATAATGCTTATCTTTACCACTCTCAGCAACCATTGTCCTCTCCCGAAGCAGTTTCTGGTGAGGGAAAAGACGCGCTTCGAGTTCCTCATTTTTCAATATCGACCCTTGAACCAACTTCTTGTCTTCTTCGTGGGTGTCACCTTCACCGTCCTTATTGGGAACAACATGAACCATGGCCTTCTCAATTCCTGAGATCTTGTCCTGAATGTCGGAAAGAATCACCTTGGAGGCATCAGGGTTGTTCATGTCCAACATCTCCTTGGTCTTCTTTATATCCGAAGCTATTCTCTTCACTTTGCCCTCAAGAAAAGCGAGCTTCTCGTGAAGCCTGCTAGGGTACTTTGCGTTGTTGTTGTTGCTACTTCCATCGTTGGGTTCTTGGGAAACGGTGGTGGTGGTGGAGGTTTTGAGCTTTTGGGCGTTGGAGGTGGAAAGTTTGGATCTTTGTGTGGTGAGCTTGGGGGTGGGATCACGGGTGGGCTTTTGGGCGGAGGCTCGGGAGAGATCGGAGGGGCTTGAACTGCGGCCGCGAGGGAGGGTTTTGAGGGAAGGGTTGGAGCGGGAGGTGGAGCGGCGAGGGTTGGAGTTTTCTTTGAGGAGAGAAGGGGAAGGGAAACGGCGAGAGGCGGAGATAGGGCGGGGACGAACGGCGGCGGCGCCGTCGTCTCCGCTGCCGCGGCGAGTGGCCATATCTGTGTGGAATAAATCGATGGCAAATTGATCGGTCTGTTCTGTGGCGAGAGAGAGAGAGAAAAAGAAGAAATTTGCACAGTGAATGGATGAATCGAAGGAAATGGGAAGAAGGGTAAGCGGGAAAAACACTGCAATTTTGAGTTTTGAAATTTCTGGGCCGCCAAATTGTTTCTTTTACCCTTGCAAAGAACTATATTTTGTTGGATTAATATTACTTGTATTCTTGATAATATTTAAATTTATATAAATGTGAGTCATCAAAAAGATAATAGGTTACTTGTACCAAAATCTTTAATTGATATCACATTAAATTATTTAATAAAAGTAACATGTTATTTTCTTTAGTAGTTTTTATTTCAATTATGGAAGGTTAGTTTTTCATCATCCCATGAGAATGGTTTTGGAAGAAACTTGATTAAAAGCCATTTTCCCAAAATCCTAGTTTCCCCTCTGTGAAATGATGCTTGAATTCCTAGAAATATGATTAAATTTTTTTTAGTTTGTAGGCATATAATTTTCTATCCTTTTTGTCCTTATAAAAAATAAATACTTAAGGATTACAGAAATTATATTTAAGAATCAAAACTAAAAAGGAAAAGTTTCTTTAAATAAGGGAATCAAATGAGTAGCTATAAAATAAAATCAAATGAGCAAATTTGTTCTCTTTTTACTATATTTATGTTGCATTTGGCAGGTGAAAAATTAAAAAAAAAAAAAACATGGATAATATAAGTTGGCACCTTCAGAGTAGAAGAAATTGGGTGAAAATAATTATAAAAATGGAGAAATCTAAATAATTATTCATCACTTATTTCCGTACGTCGTTGTATATTGTCCATTTTCTATTTTTCTTTAATCAAATACATTTATCTTTCATTTTATTTATTATTATTTTCTATATACTCTCGTATTTATTTAGTTTTTTTTTCTATTTTCGAAAATTAATCTTCTTATATATTTTTTTTAAATGTATAGAGAAATACTTGACTTTAGCTTATTATATCATAAGTAATAATGAATTGTATCTATTAATTAATTAATTCAGGTTATAATCTATTTAATATTGCTTTAAATATAGAATAAACTATATTAAAAGAATATATATATATATATATATATATATATATATATATATATATATATATATATTAAGTTAAAGTGTTTTGGCCAAGATTGAAATAGTCACTTGTATCAAAAAATCATTTGTTTTTTTTGTTATGATTGTTGGTCATGCAATTATAAACATTTTAATTGATTTTGGATTTAATCACGTCTATCTTGTATGATATTGAAAATGTTTAAAAAGTATCTATTTATTTAGCTTTTAAGAAAACATTATGATTAATGTATAAAGTTAGTGGGATTGATGTTTAATTTTTATTTTTAATATGTTGATTACATTTTGTTTGAAATTAATTATAGTAGTATGTTATAGGAAGTGAAATAATTTCTTTATAACAATTTGAATATAAAGAATATTAGTTGTAAAACTCTACAAGATGGTATTTTTAGAAGTGGTGGTAGTTTAAGTGAGACTCGATTATTTTAATATTAAACGATTTTATTATAAATAGTTTTGTTATAAATGAGTTTCGTTATTTTAAAACGCATCATATCTCTAGAAACCACTTTTCTAGAGTTCTCTACCTTCTCTCTAAGAGTTCTAACTCCTGAGTCATTTTTGATGACCAGGAGGTACCTAATCGATCAAGACAACGAGGTCTACGTTTCTACCCGATCAATTTCTTCGATAGAGTAAGTAAGTTTCGACTCTTTTTCCCCTTCCGTTTCCAAATTTGTTTTAGAGGAATTTAATATTGTTGCATGTGTAATCATGTCTCTCTTACTCATTATTGGTTTATCTAGAGTTCTAAGGATTATGTCCGTTTACAATTTGGTGTTTCGTAGGTTCGTCTAGGTATTCTTTGCGGTTCAAGTAATCGGCGGAGCATTTTTAGAGTTGGGCAGTTTCTTTGAGAGGTAAGGGAAGCTAGAACTTGTCTTAGTTGTGTTTATATTATAAATTTGGTGTCTCTATGAGCTATAGTTGATTTTCAGAAAATTAGTATGATTGGGTGTATAAAATGTATGTTTGATTGGTAATTTTGATAATGTGATGTTGAATATAAGTGGTGTAGTGTGATTGTGATGATTAATACTATTATAATTGAGTATGATGATGATATTGAAATGTTTGAAATTGAATTCAAGTGGTTGTGTGAAATATTGGTCAAGTTACTTGAGTTTTAAGCTTAAAAGAGAGGTTTTGGTAAGTGAAATTGAGAATTTGGTATTGGGGTGTGATGGCAACTGGTCTACCACTGTTATGTGGTTAATTGGGACTTGTTAGAAGAGTTAGATGGTTGAAAGCAGATATGGAGCAAAGATTAGGGTCATTGTTCAAGTTTTGAAGTGTTTTAGTGGAAAAGGGACAGTTGGGAGTGTGTTATGAGACCCATTAGGACTTGTCTAGGCTGTTAAATGAGAAAAATCTGGTATAAGACAATTGGTTTCATCTTAGGATGGGTTCTTAGAGGTTTTTGGCCCAAATTTGAGGTTTTGAATGATGAGATCTTGAAACAGAGGGAATGTGAGCAATCTAAGGTGTTGGGGTGTACTAGCAAGTGTATTTGGACCTGGTTATGCAGTTGGAAATTTGATATAGGGGTTAAAAAGTGTACATTTGAGTTTGGATAGCTTATAGGAGTGAATTTTGGTTTTCATAGGTCAATTTGGGATTTGGAGTGGTCAATTGAAGTTAAGGGTCTATTTTTAAATGTTTCTCAGTTCCTGAGAGTGTTTAGGAATAATTTAAACTTGTATAGAGGATCATCAAAGTCCAAATAGGTGAATTTTAGAACCTGGTGTAGTGTTAGGCGCTATCCAAGGGGCCCTTGGGCGTTTTTGCGAGAAGAATTCGCTTAGGTGCCCCTTGAGCGCCTCTGTTCCAGGGGTCTGGCAAGTCGGGCACCCCTTTTTGGGGCATTGAGCGCAACAAAGCAGATTTTAGTTTTTTTCAGTTTTCGGGATCTCAAATTTGATGTTCTGGTTATCAGTTTTTGACGTTCTTTAGGTCGTTTTAGACCCTTTTGGAGCTGTTGGTAAAGGTTTCATAGTTGTTTTCTTTACCTAAATATGAGTATCATTATGCCATGAATAAATTGTGTTATAGGGTGATTTCTAATGACTTGTAATTGTGTTTCTATTTCTTTAATGGATGATCAATAGTCTCAAGTATTGGTGTACTATGTGAATGTGAACTAATAGCAATGGTTTCAAAGGTATGGAAGAGAGTTCCAATGAGGAACTTCTCAGTGGTAGTTTAAAGTGTTGTAAGTATGAATATGGGAAGCTATTCTCAAGTAGAGAGGGGTGAGGCATGTCGTGAGAATAGCAGGAGGTCTTAGCCTAGGAGCTTTACCTTGGCCTAAGGTGAGTGACAACGGACTAACCTTGTGTGGTAGCTTGCGGTAGGCCAACTGTTTCACCACAACAAGTACACGAACTGTCTTAGCTACATATTCATACTAATCGGAATGGTCAAGTGAAAAGGGTCGTCATGCATAACAAGTGGTTGTTTGGTTTGATGTACTAGGATTATTGCGTGAATGTTACCATCGTGTTAATATATATCATAAATTGTTGTAATCTAGCTTACCATTGCTTTTCTATTGTCTGTCCTTGTATGTTGTTTCTCTTTTGCGATGATCGCCTAATGGTGTGAGCTTAGGGATTCACCTTTTCAGTTGTTCCAGGTAGAGGTGAGGGAGAAGCAGATGAGTTGTTGGATAGATCTAGAGAAGTAGATCTCTTCTTTGAGGGATGTTTGTTTTACCTAATTGTTCTTTTAACATTTATGTAACGTTTCATTTTGGTAGTTTTATACTATTAAAATGGGATGTTACAATAGTCAAACATGTTAAATCATAAAATTAATAAAAAAGAATTTTTTAAAGTATTTTAGGTTTCTTAAAGAAGCATATATGTATTGAAAATTTAAATATAAACTTACATTTTATAGAAATAAGAAAGTTAAACAATGAGTAAATGATATGACTCATTGAACCATTGTTTCTATATTTTTGGTTGAATGTGGGGTTAGTCTTTTGTATGAATTTGACTTGGTCTTATTGTTGTTGAATCTTCTTATTGAATTTCCTCTTGAAATATCATTTAGCGATATTAGAATCAAAAGTTTATCTTAGTGAATAACTTAAATGAGTACACTATGATATTTGTATAAAAAGTATTTCTAACAAAAATTAAAAAAAAAGGAATAATCATGGATTGAAATGTTTCTGCTCGAGGGGATATACCAATGTGAAGATACTAACACTTAAAATGAGAGATTGTTAGGAGTCAAAAATACGAGTCTATATGTTCTATATTGAATATAAATGAAAAAGTTTAACAATATATAATAATAAAAATCATAAATACATTGTTTTAAAATTTTGTATTAAAGGTGGTATCATCTTTTTATGTAGGTTTGTCTTAGGTTTCATTTTTGTTGAATTTCTTCTAAATCTTCAAACATATGAATATGAAAAACAAAATGTTTTAAGGAGCTTTAACATGAAAATTTGTTTATGGGAGTATATGATGTGATTCCTAATAATGAAAAATTGATGTTACAAGAAGATTAAAGGAGATTCTAGAAAATTATTCAAATGGACTTAACTTCACAAGGTTATGTTTCTTATAATGTCCAAACAAGTTGAGGCTACATGCGTTGTTGTGAGTCAAACTAGATTATCATTAAACCCAATTTAATCACAACATGATCAATTAGAAATAGTTATGATGCAAACTAGACCAATTTTTAAATATACATGTGTTGAAAGTGTTAAAATTGTCGCATTAATAATGTAATAGATTATGTTAAGTCTAGATAGTGAACTTTAGTTTTAGAATCAGATTAATCAATTAGTTTAAAGACATAATTGATTGATCTTGTCAGAAAACTATTTTTGTGTAAAACTCAACTTTCTTACTCATTTGAGGGAACGATTTTAGAAATAAAAAATTTAGAGAAAGAGATATTTAAGAGTTATTAGAGAGATTAGTGTGAATTTTCAAGTTTTTATCAAGATTCAAAAAGATTGAATTGACTCTAAGGTTCTCTTGCTTTACTTAGGATTGAGATGTAAAATTTGCATATCTTACTCGTTTCATATTCTTTTGTAGTTTTTTTTTTCTTCATTGTATAAGTGATAGGATAAGACAATTGTGTGTAATATTTTTGTTGTGTAAAATTCTTGAAAGATATTTTAAGTTTATTATATTGTAGAATTTAAGATTATTAATGTGTATTTGTGATATTGTAAATTCTTGTTAAAGTGATATTTTAACTTAGATTGCTAGAAACTAGTGCATTTTTAAAGAATTACATCAGTATAAAATTTGGTGTCTCTTGTTCTTTCTTTCATCATCTTCTTATATCTTAATAACGGTAAAGGTTCTAAAACTAAACATTCTACATACACTTTGTTAATTGATTAAACTAATTTGTAAAATTGTTTTTCAAAACTAAAAATAATCAAATTTTTAGAAAAATGATTTATCTTCCCTTTTCGAAAATATTAATTGCATTTATTTTAATAGTATTCAAACTTAAATTTATATATTTTATACAATTAATCCCTATTTTTAAATTAGTCCCTATTAAAATTCAATTAATCCCTATTTGTTTTTTATGCGTGATATAAGTTTTTAAAGAGGTCTATGATAAGATACTTTTATTAATAAAATTGATTATTGAAATACAAGTGAATTAGCTATTATAAACATGAATTCTTGAGATTAAATTTTCAATTTAAATTGATGGAGTTCTCTTAAAGTATTATGATTATTGCTAAGTTTTATTTGTGTTAACGGATTTCGTATACGTTTTTTTGGCTATTTGATATATTGCATCCCATATCATTCATACATGGTATTTAGAGTAGAAAAATAACATGTTTTGCATACAAGATTTAGTTCCCATTCATGCTTATGTTACATATACACATTATATTCTTGCTTCAATGCTAATTTTTTTATTAAATTATTTATTTTACAACTTTAACAATTTAATTTTTCTTTTAATTCACATTAAATTGTGACAGTGACTAAATGAAACATAATACATTAATTTCAGTCATAAATTAAAAAAGAAAAGAGGAAATCATGAAAATAAAAGGAATTGAAGTTGAAATCACACTTCAATAAAAGAATTGCATAAAAACCTGAAATAATAATTTACAATTTGCAAAACAGCATATCAATCTTCTCTTTTCTCTCTCTCTCTCTCCCTCCCTAAACTCTTTCTTCACATATTATATTACTCTCTCTTTCACTCAGCCCAATTTAAACCCTAATGGGCTCAAGAGGCCCACTTTCAGAACCAGACCCAAAATCTGAAATCGAAATGTCACTCAGAGAGTCTCCTTTCGACGATCTTGCCGACGATTTCTTAACGGAACCGTCCTCTAAGTTCTTCGATTTCCGCCGGCTGCTTCTCGGCGGCATATCCTGGGCGGATGGCGATTCACCGCCTGGGTTTGACCCGCGCCGGTGCCGCCGGTGGCGGGAGTCGCCGGTGGAAGAGTCTTGGTTTGTGGTCTCTGAGGAGGGGTCGGAGGACCGATGGCTTCGGCGCGTGCTCTTCGGTCTAGGCGCGTTGTTCTCCGTCTCCATGGATTGGTGACGGGACTTGGGAATCAGGTGGTGGCGGGACTTCGAATTTCTCGAACTTTTCTCGCGTTCACCTGAATTTGAATGAGTAAGAAACCAAATGAATAAATTGTAGAAAAGATTTTAGGTCAAAATTAATTTTATCTAAACAGCATTATAAAGGGATTTAGTTTTTGTTTCTCTCCCTTTCTTGCACATGTTCTGTGTAAATATATCTTCTGCACTATAGATTTTAAATGCTCACATTGTTTTCATTAAAGTTATGTTTTTTATTTTCAAATATTAAGAGTGGAGAATGAAAATTTTCATTATTAGAAGAAAGTGTCGACAAACATGTAAAATACTAATTAGAGAGATATGTTCTAACCTTCTGGATTAGGGTTCATCACTGATGAGGTTTCTTTAGTTCCTCCTTTGAATTCTGTCATCTGCATAAGATTTTAAATTGCACACAGACTAATGTTTCTTAATTAAGGAAGAGTTATCACCTAAACAAAAACTGTTAAGTAGAGAAAGAGAATAGTACCCAGCTTGGTGCATTTGCTGATGGATCATCTGATCCAATATGTGCCACATGTTTTACATCAGTTGGTAATCCAATTTGAAACTGTTCTTCTTTCTCGTCTGCAAAATAGGTATCACCATAATTTGTAGTTTTATATTTTCAAATTCTGAGCATAATTTTTCTGCTTTCTTATCATCAAGCAAAAAGATGCAACAAAACTAAACAAGTTTGAGAAAAATAAAGCATTTTTATGTGCATAAACCCTCTAAAGAAAGCATTTCTGTTCTATCAGTTTTCTGCCTTCCCTGCTTTGGAAATGCATGTGTGTGTTCTTCTCTTTATGTATATATATTCTTAAAGAGAAATGTTTTATAAAAATTCACTAAGAAAAATGTAGTTTTGATTTTAATTTCTGTGTGGGAATGGAGAACGGACACTTACCAAATATTTGGGAAATGTATTTAAATCCTTTAAGGAAGCCTTTCACCTTGGTCGACATTAATCAATGTAAATAAAGTTTGTTGATATCTCTACACCAAAAATCTTTCACTTAAAATATTGGTGCTGATTGTATTCAATATTCAATGGAATAATAAGCTAAAACCCTTCTGAAAAGCAAAGAAAAGAAAAGAAAAAAGTGAGTCAACTGATCACATGATAAGAAACCTTCCCTCTAACCACTGATATAATTTTGATGACCATATTACTTGATGGTTGAGAAAGTTTTTTTCTCTGATGGTAAGAAAAGAAAAAGGTGTTATTATCAAGAAGACTTACCTGTCTACTTTGAGAAGAAAAGTTTACAAAAATCATATTATATATATGAGTTTAGATAAGGTGGTAATATTGTTGAAATCAGAAAAGCTGAAGCATGAAGAAGTGAGGAAGCATTGAGATAGAGACATGAATGCATGTAAAGTTTGAAGGTAAGTGTCATGCAGAGAAAAAGATATGCATGGTTGGTTCGTGTTGGTGGTTGTGTGGGAGAAATAACCAACCATGAAGATGGAGTCTTCAGGGTGGCATAATCTCAAAAGTGAAAACAAAAACAACATTGGTTTTTGATCAACCACCCTCTTCCTCAAATCAAAACCAGTAGCTCAACGCCTTTTTAGGTGAAAATCCAGCTATGTAGCACTGCATTTTTCAGGTGAAAAACCTATTTTTGGGACTCCTATCCTTTCTAAATCAAAGGTTCACAACTCATTCTATTAATAAGACAAATGTTTTATCCTTTTCAACTTTTTATGAATTGTTTATTTTTAGATCGATTATATTTTAACACTTTCATTTTCTTCTCAACTTACAATTTTATAAATTATTATTTTATTATGATATTTTATTTGTATTTATTATTTTTATTATTAATACAGTATTTTGTTATACAAAATAGTTATCAATAGTGGAGGTAAATAAAATATTGTATATGTATCATTCAACAAAATATGGTGTAAGTCTTGATGTAAACATTTCAAAACAAAAATAAGAAAATGGGGACCATCAGCTTTCTAACTCATAAATGGAGAATTTGTTTTAATAGTATTTCATACACATGTTTAAAATTTAAAAGTTTGAATTAAAAAAAAAAAGAAAAAAAATTCCAAGTTACGAGAAATGTATGTGTAATGATTAACAATAAAATAAAATAAAATATTACATTTTCAAAGTGTAAAAATATTCATTCCCAATTCTAATTTGAATATAAAGTTGAAAAGAAATCAAGAATGATTATTGTCATTCTTTAAATGTGTAAATTTAATAATTATATATATATATATATATATATATTGGAAAACACCAATTAGTATAAGAATTGAAGTATAATTTTTTAAAGCCTACACGTGATCAAGAAAATTAACATTTTATACAAAGTTGGTGACTGTATTCAATAAAGGCTACAAAGAGAAATTTTTTTAACCAAGATAATTTTGAAAAAAATAACAATTTAATAAACTTTATCAATACAAAAAGTGTTAAAAATTTATTGTAAGAAAGTGCTGATTATATATCATCATATAAAAATAACAATTTAATAAACTTTATCAATACAAAAAGTGTTAAAAAATTATTGTAAGAAAGTGTTGATTATATATCATCATATAAAAATAAATTATTATTTATCATCATTATTATAAAAAAAATACATTTATAAAAAAATATGTCATCATTATATAATGGTATTAATTATTATTTTATGAGTAAATTATATTTGTATTTTTTGTTTTTTTTATATTACACAATACTTTTATTTTTATTCATTTTGGTTAATGTTTTGCATTATAAACCCTTACAAAAGACACAGGGTCTAACGAGCTTTTGATTGGTTAATAAGATATAAATGTAATAATTCAATCGAATCGTGACTCAAAGATATGTGCAAATCTCAAAAACCACAAATTATCTGTAATCTATTCTTCTTGTTACGAATAAAATAGTATTATGAATATCATTGTTTCCTTTATACTGTATTTCAGAAAACAAGTTCCTAAACAACCATTAACCTTAGCCTTAACCTTTGTAATAAACTAACTAATAGGGACCAACTTTGATGTCACAAAGATACAGTGTAAGATCTTAATAGAGTACTTAGCAGTGAAGGATGAAAGTCAGTGCTTGTATATTGTGCAAGTAAAATTGATCAGAGCATGTAATCGAATTTCTGACCATGAATCTGTGGTTCATGATGCTTTCATGTCATCCAAGCCAAAACGAGCCTGTTCAAAAAGATAAGTTTGATGAGTTCATGGGTGAAAGGTTTAAAATGGCTAACATAGATTACCACTGGGAATAAGATTGCTTCCCACCTCCAACCCTCAAAATTTTCTTCTCTAAAAATATAGCTTTTTGCATTGGTTTGAAAATTGTATACTAGCTTTCCAAATATAAATAATTTCACTTCAAACTTAATTTTATCCAAAATAAATTCTTCAGAATCAAGATAATCTAAAAGCAATGTCATTCTACATGCATAAAAATGATCTAATATATCTTATTTCTTACCAGAAACTTGTGATTTTCTTCGAGTAGAGGAGAAAAGGTTGTACAAAATTTTCCAATGTCAGCATTGATATCGCCGGTGCCTCCTATCACCTCCATGAACTTCTTCCTACTAGGAGCAAGCTTCATGACAACCTGTAGGTCAAACATTTAGTACACATCCCAAAACCGTATTCAGTTTCATACAACGTACAGTCAATTCCTAAGAAAAACGAACAGTGGAAAAAGAAAAAAATAAAACAACAGAAAAAACATAAGACAAGAAAACAACGACAGACACATAGATAAGGTAAAATTGCATGGTATTTAAATGCTTTAATCTAAATTACATTGACTAATGTAAAGTGCGAAGAAACTAGAAGATGCAAGCTCATTTATTGTTGGTGTAATGTTTTACATGATCACGACATCGTTCGTCTCATTTACTCAGAATTAGAAACCTTAATGCTACATGTCTCAACACTGGAAATTAAGACAAATAAAGTAATAATATTAAAACTTATACTATTTCATACAACATGGAATATGAAGCACTGTTGTGATAAAGTGCAGAGGTGGTAGAAAATTGTCAACACAATTATGCAAATAGTAAACTCAACAGCATTTTCTAGGAAGACTATTTCAATAAGCTGTATTTTTTGTTCTATCAAAACATACAACATTATATCAACAAAGAATTAAAAATAAGATTACAGAGAAGCTTGAGCTAGCAAGCCAGCCATGCCACTTCTTCAGAGTCTTGTTATAGGAATCTGTACAAGCTTGGTACATTGTCCAATCTTCATGCTCGACTAAGTTTCGGAACAAAGCCACCAAGAAATCCATTGCCCTAAAGATTTTACCGGTTAGTGAAATAAATGTAGCATAAATAATACTGCAAGGATAAATATGGCAATGACAACTACAACTCATTAGCTAAGATCTCAGACAACCAAATAAAAATAATTATCACATTAGTATCTCAACAACTTGAGAAAGATAAGCAGAACTAGCCGAAGCTTCATAACAGTCTTAAGAAATAAAAGATAAAATCTAATTGAACCAAATTTAAAGGATTCATCATAGTTTCATACAATGACAACACAAGTTGTCTCCTGATATGTTGGAGAAAGCTAAATGACCATCCTTGTACTGTGAAAAAAAATCAAGCCTACACAACAGACATTTAGATCTAAATCCTTTTTATGGTTATCCCTACGATTACCCTTTTATTGTCCTCAACCTCTATTTATTGGGCTTTTATTGGTCTTCATGTTATCAGCTCTTCTCACCGGAGCTTCTATTGATCTATTTATCACATGGTCAAGCAATCTTAAGAAAAAATATCAAGCGTAATATGGGATGCAGACTATAATGAGTCAGGTCAAAAAACGCAATTCAATTTATGTCTCCAAAATGGAGCATAAACCCAGTGAAAACATGAATAACTTTTTAGCTTTCAGCAGTTTTTTATTAGATCAGGGTAAAACGGGTCCACATTTACTTTTGACTTAACATAAACTCAAGCTCTAATTGTTACCAGTTTGGTTCAAAATAGTCTAGTTAGTTGACTCATTTTGTCAACTCTAAAGAATATGAAGATTGGATCTTAGAATATTTTATGTTATCTTTGAGATTAATTCTTAGGGTTATTTTATCTATTTTATTTGTTTCCATGTTTTCTAGTATCATTATTTGTTTAATATCTAGTTAGGATTACTATTAGTATAAGTAACTTTAGGATTTATGGACAACATCATCACCTTGTAAGTTTGTAAAACATCACAGTATCAAGACGTATTTTTCACTTTTCTCTATTCTTTTCCTCACTCAGTACCTTAGCTCACAAAATTTCAGTAAGCTTGATAAGCTCCTTTGGTCACAATAGACCTAAAGCATTTTTTAAATTCATCCACCCACTTTAAATTTTATAATTTACATCTCCCCTTGTTTTTCTACCAGTTTGTGGGGAAAAAACTAAGGTAACTAAACCATGTAGCTTGTGGTATGAAATGACCTCCAATTTTCACCTCAAAGTTTGTTCTATTATTTGTCCTGCTGAATCACCATTCCACATGTTCAGTTTTACTTAATAAAAATCACGTGACTCCAAACCTGTGGCCTACAATACTAGTTTTCCATTTATTTCAAACAGAATAGATACGAGTTATGGTTATAATCATTTAGAAGTTTTAAAAAGTAGACTTTAAGCTTAATTTAACTTTTCAAAACCAGTTTGTAAGGTGAAGTTTGTACCACTTATAAATTGTAAATTCACCTTATTTCTAGTCATGTCGGATCTCCAACCAGAAAAAAGAGACAGCAGTCTGTGCTCATCCACAACATAAGTTACATACAAGCATCAAGGCAAATTTGTGATGTTAAACATACTTGTATCTACACATGCATGTATTCTGTATACACACTTTGATGTTTAATGTTTCTATACAACCTCTATTAATTATGGCCAGTTTCAAGTCACATTAAGATCCAAATTTTGGAAAGCATGCCTCAAGGGACTCTTGAGAGTTGAGATTTCTTCCAGAAATTTGTTTCTAAGTATAGAGGCATTTTTTTATCTAATCTTTAACCTGTTGGCTAGTCAAACTTCCTACATGATCCAATGTATGATTGAAATAAAAAATTAACACTATTACAAATTTTAGATAAAGTTCTCCAAAAAAACAGAGTTAGGAATGTCATACCAACATGAAAACACAAGTTAAATGCAACTGCATGATGTTTATTACCTTGTCAGCCAAAGAAGCCCATTGGTGCAACTAGATGATGATTTAGCAGTTTTAGTTTCAACCTCCACCTGTACCAAACTGTAGAGGTAGTTGAATCTGGATGGATTGGAGGAATACATAGTTTCCAATCTCTGCCGAGAAAATCAGAGAGGTATAGAATTAGAAAAAATCATATGATCCCAAGGCTTAGATAATGTACACACTTATAATTGATAAAAGTTCAAATGAAAAACATTTTATGTAAATTAGATAGAAACCCACAAATTAAAACAAAATGAATCACAATCAAACACTATAGGATACATATAGCCATACCATGTTACCACAAGAAGAAGTGAAGAATAATATATTCAAAGCTGCAGCAAATCATCTGACAAAGTATACAATATCATTAGAGTCGGATAGAACAGTTCACAAAAACATACCGATACGTTGCCACCTATGTCAGATTTCACAAGGGCCAAAGCAGTTCCAAACTTATCTGTTACAAGAAAATTGTTAGCTCTTTTATCCAAGACACATGTATCCGTTTATGCTTAAACAAGCACTAAACCAGGATGCAATGGTTCACAATCTATTGGTGTTTAATATGCCGCAGTTGTAGAGTTAGTAGGACTGTAAGATAAAAATCACTTCTGCACATTAATAGTCATGGATCTAGAATATAGATACCTAAGAGACCAAGAAAACAAAATTAAAAGCAATCAAAACATTTTACACATTTGTATTGATGAGAAAAAAAAATCTCTGGATGAATGCTAACAGAACAGGATCAACAAAAGTACACCATGGAAAAGCTCACATTATGCATCTTACCTGGCTCAAAGAGGTGATAATTCATTTAAATTTAGCGGATATAGTGTCATTTAATACACCACAGATTAAAAAAAAGGATAATTGGATTATCCCTAACCATTAAAAAGGACAAAATATATATGGAGGAAACACTCGCAAAATGTTAGCATCTATTATTTCTTTCTTTTAAGAGCTAATAACAAGGTAATGAACAAGACACACCTATTACTGGCAATATGTGCTTGCACACTTCCAAGAAATGCTTGCTCAAAATTTCTCCATGCTCAGACTTTACATGCTCAAGTTCTTTCAGTGCAGGAGCGAAAACAGTCCCCTCCATTTTTGGGCTTTGCTGCACGTGACAAGACCAAACAAATACACTAACATCAGCTTAACAGATATAAAATCCACAAATATATAATTCAAATTCACGTATACAAATATCACCTTTCTTACGCCAAGCAGAAAAATATAAGAATACGAAGCTAACAAAGAAAGACTCAGAACATCAACGGGAAGAATGTAGATTTTTTACAGGTAGAATGTGACATTAGTCATTGTTTCAACAGTTACATAATCTATCCTTGTAGCGAAATTTCTAAACTAGGAAAGTGAACAAAATTAACATCATATTGTACGAATAGAGTTAGTCATTGGAATGTGACATTAGTCATTGGTTCAACGGATACATAATCTATCCTTGTAGCGAAGTTTCCAAACTAGGAAAGTGAATAAAAATTCAAATTAACATCATATTGTACGAATAGAATTTTTACTATATTTTGATAACTTGTAAACTAGGAAAAAAATGGATTTCTTTAAAAGTAATACTGAAAAATATAAGAAAAAAAACATTCAAATCACTCTAAAAATGATGGTTCTGAAGAACCAAAGTTTAACTTAATTTCACTTATAACACATCAGAAGCTTAAACTTTGCTTACAACTACTGATTCTAAAACTTATAAGATCATCACAATTTGCTTTCCTACCACACATAGTATGCTGCCAACTGAGAATAGGAAATTTTCAATGAACTAAGAGTTTAGATCCTTGGATTTCTGGATGAGACACACTTTGAGACGCTCAATAAAAAATAGACAACTTCACTGAAGAATTGCATGGAAAAAATAAATAACAGCAGATCTTGCTCCCGCTAAATTTCCCTAAGAGCAGAAAATAGCAGGGACTTGCCCAGAAATTGAAACTGAGTTCAGAAAAAAAGAAGAATTTGGAATACCCATTTTCTATTTTTCCAAAAGAAAGAAAATTTAGACTTCATTTGTTTCAAGAAACAATGGAACACGCATTGATCCGTGAACAATTAGAGAAGAGATGATGTGCATACACAGGAGGAATCGAAGGGACTGTGATCCAAACAGCGATTGCGTTGGAGTTAAGAGATGGGAACAAGATTCGAAGATTTTTCTCCTTCTCCCTCCTTCGATGCTTAATTTTTAAGTATATATATACGCGGAAACAAGGGAACTGCAGTCTGAAACAACGAAAAATTATTATAAAATTTAAAATGTTACAAAAAAATAATTATCGATAAATTTTAAATGAACTGTTGTGAAAAAGAGTTCAAAATCTATTTATTTGTGGTAATAAATAAAATCTTTGTTCAGAACGAAATTTACAAATTTAATTAAAGGCTTGTTTTACATTTATTATGTGATTTTTTTTATTTTGGATTTTAAATTTAAAGAACATATAAATATAGTTTTCTTAACACAAGACATTAATATGTTTGAGTTTGATAAAAAATGTTCTAAAATAACATTTGAGTTAGGATATAAATAATTCAAAAGGCACTCTAAGAATTGAGCTAGAAAGACTATATTTTTTTTTACTTTTAAATTGGTTTAATACCCAATTTTGTCTCTAGTTTTGTTGGCAAATCTCAATTTAGTCCCTCGTTGCAAAAGTGTTTGAAATAGGTTCTTACTTTTAAATTTTTGAGTCAAATTAGTCCCTTCCGTTAAATATAACCAAACGGAGTTAAGAGAGTGATTATCTGGCATAATGCAGTGGTAACGTGTTATTTTTATATTATTTTTATATTGTATGCGTTGACATATTAAGTTGTCAAAGGTTGAGCTGGATATTGTCATTTTTAAATTGTGAAAAATTATATTGTCTGTTACTCACCCTTCCAAATACGACATCATTCACCCCACTTTCATCACATTGCAGCCACCACCCATTACCTTTTCGCCTCTGCCTCCGTTCGCCCTCGCTTACATGACGTTCACTGAATTAGTCTTGGGAAGATGGGCAGCCAAATTTTGTCTTTGATTCACTTCCCAATTTGGGAACCTTCTCTTTCAGCTTCCCCTTCCAAATCCAAACCTAGAAAAATTCTGAACCTTGTCTTTCAACTTTCCCTTTCAACTTTCAACCTAGACAGATCTTCTTCCCACCGAAAGTGTAGTAGCCGTGGGTGAGGTGGCCGTCGGAGGGGAGATCCAAACCTATGATGCGGTCGTGGGGCTGGAGCACAGCAGTGTAGGCGGCGAAGTTGGCCGGAGAACCAGAGTAGGGTTGGACGTTGACGCCCCACCAGGAGGGATCGAGATGGGAGGCCTCGAGGGCGCGGGAACGACACAGGTTCTCAATCTGATCGATGAACTCGTTGCCACCGTAGTAGCGGTTGCCGGGCATACCCTCGGAGTACTTGTTGGTGAGGGCACTCCCCAGCGCCTCTATGACAGCGAAGGAAGTGAAGTTCTCCGACGCTATGAGCTCTATTCCCCGACACTATGGGCAGTCTGCAGCTTTGATTGGTGGCTATGGAGGTGCTCTATGAGTTTGGGGTTTGGGTGAAAAGAGGTGATGAAGTATTTGTATGTTGAGTGATGAATGAGTTTGGAATTTGTGGAGGTGGGGGAGACATATGTGATTAGCAGAAAAGAAAATGCCCTGAATCGATTTTTCTCTAATTTCAAATACTTAATCTTTAATATCCAGTTTAACTTCTAACACGTCACTATGCATATAATATAAGAATAACACGTTATCATTGCATTCTGCCACATCATCATCCTATTAACTCCGTTTGGTTATATTTAACGGAAATGACTAATTTGAATCAAAAATTTAAAAGTAAAAATCTATTTCAAACACTTTTGTAACGAGAGACTAAATTGAGATTTGCCAACCAAACTGGAGATAAAATTGGATATTAAACCTAAATTTAAAAACTTATCAAAGTTTAAGATATAAACAAATGATTTAATTATTTATTTAGTTGAGAAGTTTTAATTTAGTGTTCATTTAACTTTTTTTTCAACAAAATGTCTCAATTATGTATTTAAAAAAATTACTAACGGCATAATAGTACGTGTTTATGTGTTTTTTTTATAACTTTTATTAAAAAATTTAATTTTAACAATTTAAAAAAAAATTGTAATATTTTTGTTGTTACTCAAGGAAGATTCTTGACATAATAAGTGACATTATCAATGTCAAGTGACACGTACAAGTATCAATGTCAATATCAAGTGATTTTTACTGTATTTTCTATATATATATATATATATATATAATTTTAAAATGAATTAACGTTGTTTTATTTTGATTGAGACCAAATATATCATTTGTATAGATGATATACTTTTATTAAAAATAACTTTTTAACATATTAGATTCATTCTTATTTAAAATTTTAATATATTTTGATTCTTAAATTTAAAAAATAAATAATATAATATTTTTAACACGACATTAATTTTTGAACTTGTTGAACTATGTTTTAAATTAACATAAATTTTGATATATTTTAGTCCTAAAACTTAAATATAACTCTTTTAACATAATAACTTTTTTGAGCTTGTTAAACGATATTCTAAATGAATATTTGAGCTGAAACACATAAAACCATGATAACTACTCAAAAATCTTGAATTAAAAATATTATATTTATTTACTCTTAAAATTTGAACTTATTAAAATTTAAAACATAAACAAATTATAATTTCACCTCAAAAGTTATAAATTAAAAACATATTTACTCTTTTATATTCCAATTAAAGCTTTTAACATATTATAATAAAAACTAAAAAAAAAAAAAATTAACAACATATTTCTTGTTCTCATTTTTAAATATAAATATAGTATGTTGCACATGCTTTATGCGAATTTATTAAATTATTATACATGATATGAAATTTGATTAAAAATATTTATTTAAAAAATATAAAATTAAAAATAATACTAATTAAATATTAAAGAAAACATTTATGATTATTGTCTAAATAATTAAGAATTAGGAGATGTCTATGTAACTATCACTTATATATAGAAATTTTTTCTATAATTTAGTAGAAACTGAGTATTTTTAATTTGATTAATATTCAATAAATTTGAGTATTTTTAATTTGATTAATATTCAATAAATTTGAGTATTTTTAATTAGTTTTTATTAAAAAAATTTAATTTATTGAATATTTAAAATAAATTTTATTTTTGTTTAAATAGTTAATATTTTTTTTGTCACTATTTGTGTAATAATATGATTTTTTTAATTTTTAATTTATCGATTAATTTGATTAATATTATTTTTTTAAATTTTCTATAATTTATCTACTAACTCGTTGATTTCTTCTCTCGGAGCATTCTTACACGGTGATATGTAGAAACTTTTTTATATGAATCAACCTCTAAGATTTACTCATTTTGATGGCTCTGTCTTAGAAATGCTCACCAAAGAAAGAACAAAAATTTTCATTAATCAATTATATCAATCAATAGTTAACTATTCTTACTTTCTTCAATATCTAAACTATAAATTGTTGGGTATCATTCAGCACAAACACACACAAATAAAATAGAGAAGAGAAAATACTGATAATAGGCAAAAATGGAAATTTTATACTAGTGGAAGAAATTTACAACACCTCTCTTTCAATACAAATCTTCTCAAAAATTATGAGAATACAAGAAATGAGAGAACAAAGGAGAGAATGGAATATATAACAAAGGGGACAAGGGGTTTCTTTTATAGCCACCAAGTCATACCCCTTTACAAGTTTCCACCAATGTGGGATTTCATTCCTCACAATCTCCCACTTGAAGATTTTGATGAAACTAATCAAATCTTCACACCATCTTTGCCTTCGTGTTGCTTGTTCTTCTGATAAACTTCAGTAGAATCGAATTAACGTAAATATGCCAATAACCTTTGACACCTAATTCTGATTCTCCGAAACGCAATGCAACACCTGATCAATATTTTAGTGCTCTCCACCTAAACCTACCATGAACATACTAACCACTCCCACTGCTTGTGCAATGTCTGGTCTTGTACGCATCATAGCAATTATAAGGTTGTCCACCACCGATGCATACGATACTCGAGACTTTTCCATCCTCTCCACTTCACTGTTAGGACTCATACTTGAGGATAATTGATAGAAGATGGGGTAAAACTGGCTTGCACTCTCGCATGTTGAAGCGTCGCAAGACTTTCAGTAAGTTTTACTTCTGAGAAAGCCAAATCTTCCTATCTTTTTCTATCTCGGTGAATTAGCATCCCTAAAATCTTCTTTACCGATTCCAAGTCCTTTAATATCAAACTCTCTAGCCAATTGTGCCTTCAGTTCTTGGATTAGAGCTTTGTTGGGGCCTACCACCAACATGTCATCCACATACAACAACAAAATGATAAATCATTATCCTCAAGCCTCTTGTAGTATGTACAATGGTCTGAACTTAGTTTGTTGTATCCGAGGCTAATGATAAAGGAATCAAATCTCTTATACCAATACCTTGGCGCCTGCTTTAAACCGTATAGAGATTTGTTCAACCTGTAAACTAAGTTTTCTTGTTCTTCAAAGCCTTCTGGTTGGGGCATCATTTCATTGTTGCTTAACAATAACCTTGTGAGCGGTGGAACTCACAGGCAATACCCCTTCACATTGTTAGCATAGCCCAAGCACTTAATTCTTTCCCCAGTTTCAAGCTCTACTCGTGCTTTGGTTTCCTTGAACTGGTAACAACAACACATTTGACTTCCTCTTGATGTAATACACTCATAAACTCCTAGAATAAACTTTGCTCCTCCTAGGAATAACTCTGGTGANAACACAAGACATTAATATGTTTGAGTTTGATAAAAAATGTTCTAAAATAACATTTGAGTTAGGATATAAATAATTCAAAAGGCACTCTAAGAATTGAGCTAGAAAGACTATATTTTTTTTTACTTTTAAATTGGTTTAATACCCAATTTTGTCTCTAGTTTTGTTGGCAAATCTCAATTTAGTCCCTCGTTGCAAAAGTGTTTGAAATAGGTTCTTACTTTTAAATTTTTGAGTCAAATTAGTCCCTTCCGTTAAATATAACCAAACGGAGTTAAGAGAGTGATTATCTGGCATAATGCAGTGGTAACGTGTTATTTTTATATTATTTTTATATTGTATGCGTTGACATATTAAGTTGTCAAAGGTTGAGCTGGATATTGTCATTTTTAAATTGTGAAAAATTATATTGTCTGTTACTCACCCTTCCAAATACGACATCATTCACCCCACTTTCATCACATTGCAGCCACCACCCATTACCTTTTCGCCTCTGCCTCCGTTCGCCCTCGCTTACATGACGTTCACTGAATTAGTCTTGGGAAGATGGGCAGCCAAATTTTGTCTTTGATTCACTTCCCAATTTGGGAACCTTCTCTTTCAGCTTCCCCTTCCAAATCCAAACCTAGAAAAATTCTGAACCTTGTCTTTCAACTTTCCCTTTCAACTTTCAACCTAGACAGATCTTCTTCCCACCGAAAGTGTAGTAGCCGTGGGTGAGGTGGCCGTCGGAGGGGAGATCCAAACCTATGATGCGGTCGTGGGGCTGGAGCACAGCAGTGTAGGCGGCGAAGTTGGCCGGAGAACCAGAGTAGGGTTGGACGTTGACGCCCCACCAGGAGGGATCGAGATGGGAGGCCTCGAGGGCGCGGGAACGACACAGGTTCTCAATCTGATCGATGAACTCGTTGCCACCGTAGTAGCGGTTGCCGGGCATACCCTCGGAGTACTTGTTGGTGAGGGCACTCCCCAGCGCCTCTATGACAGCGAAGGAAGTGAAGTTCTCCGACGCTATGAGCTCTATTCCCCGACACTATGGGCAGTCTGCAGCTTTGATTGGTGGCTATGGAGGTGCTCTATGAGTTTGGGGTTTGGGTGAAAAGAGGTGATGAAGTATTTGTATGTTGAGTGATGAATGAGTTTGGAATTTGTGGAGGTGGGGGAGACATATGTGATTAGCAGAAAAGAAAATGCCCTGAATCGATTTTTCTCTAATTTCAAATACTTAATCTTTAATATCCAGTTTAACTTCTAACACGTCACTATGCATATAATATAAGAATAACACGTTATCATTGCATTCTGCCACATCATCATCCTATTAACTCCGTTTGGTTATATTTAACGGAAATGACTAATTTGAATCAAAAATTTAAAAGTAAAAATCTATTTCAAACACTTTTGTAACGAGAGACTAAATTGAGATTTGCCAACCAAACTGGAGATAAAATTGGATATTAAACCTAAATTTAAAAACTTATCAAAGTTTAAGATATAAACAAATGATTTAATTATTTATTTAGTTGAGAAGTTTTAATTTAGTGTTCATTTAACTTTTTTTTCAACAAAATGTCTCAATTATGTATTTAAAAAAATTACTAACGGCATAATAGTACGTGTTTATGTGTTTTTTTTATAACTTTTATTAAAAAATTTAATTTTAACAATTTAAAAAAAAATTGTAATATTTTTGTTGTTACTCAAGGAAGATTCTTGACATAATAAGTGACATTATCAATGTCAAGTGACACGTACAAGTATCAATGTCAATATCAAGTGATTTTTACTGTATTTTCTATATATATATATATATATATATAATTTTAAAATGAATTAACGTTGTTTTATTTTGATTGAGACCAAATATATCATTTGTATAGATGATATACTTTTATTAAAAATAACTTTTTAACATATTAGATTCATTCTTATTTAAAATTTTAATATATTTTGATTCTTAAATTTAAAAAATAAATAATATAATATTTTTAACACGACATTAATTTTTGAACTTGTTGAACTATGTTTTAAATTAACATAAATTTTGATATATTTTAGTCCTAAAACTTAAATATAACTCTTTTAACATAATAACTTTTTTGAGCTTGTTAAACGATATTCTAAATGAATATTTGAGCTGAAACACATAAAACCATGATAACTACTCAAAAATCTTGAAATAAAAATATTATATTTATTTACTCTTAAAATTTGAACTTATTAAAATTTAAAACATAAACAAATTATAATTTCACCTCAAAAGTTATAAATTAAAAACATATTTACTCTTTTATATTCCAATTAAAGCTTTTAACATATTATAATAAAAACTAAAAAAAAAAAAAATTAACAACATATTTCTTGTTCTCATTTTTAAATATAAATATAGTATGTTGCACATGCTTTATGCGAATTTATTAAATTATTATACATGATATGAAATTTGATTAAAAATATTTATTTAAAAAATATAAAATTAAAAATAATACTAATTAAATATTAAAGAAAACATTTATGATTATTGTCTAAATAATTAAGAATTAGGAGATGTCTATGTAACTATCACTTATATATAGAAATTTTTTCTATAATTTAGTAGAAACTGAGTATTTTTAATTTGATTAATATTCAATAAATTTGAGTATTTTTAATTTGATTAATATTCAATAAATTTGAGTATTTTTAATTAGTTTTTATTAAAAAAATTTAATTTATTGAATATTTAAAATAAATTTTATTTTTGTTTAAATAGTTAATATTTTTTTTGTCACTATTTGTGTAATAATATGATTTTTTTAATTTTTAATTTATCGATTAATTTGATTAATATTATTTTTTTAAATTTTCTATAATTTATCTACTAACTCGTTGATTTCTTCTCTCGGAGCATTCTTACACGGTGATATGTAGAAACTTTTTTATATGAATCAACCTCTAAGATTTACTCATTTTGATGGCTCTGTCTTAGAAATGCTCACCAAAGAAAGAACAAAAATTTTCATTAATCAATTATATCAATCAATAGTTAACTATTCTTACTTTCTTCAATATCTAAACTATAAATTGTTGGGTATCATTCAGCACAAACACACACAAATAAAATAGAGAAGAGAAAATACTGATAATAGGCAAAAATGGAAATTTTATACTAGTGGAAGAAATTTACAACACCTCTCTTTCAATACAAATCTTCTCAAAAATTATGAGAATACAAGAAATGAGAGAACAAAGGAGAGAATGGAATATATAACAAAGGGGACAAGGGGTTTCTTTTATAGCCACCAAGTCATACCCCTTTACAAGTTTCCACCAATGTGGGATTTCATTCCTCACAATCTCCCACTTGAAGATTTTGATGAAACTAATCAAATCTTCACACCATCTTTGCCTTCGTGTTGCTTGTTCTTCTGATAAACTTCAGTAGAATCGAATTAACGTAAATATGCCAATAACCTTTGACACCTAATTATGATTCTCCGAAACGCAATGCAACACCTGATCAATATTTTAATGCTCTCCACCTAAACCTACCAAGAACATACTAACCACTCACACTGCTTGTGAAATGTCTGGTCTTGTACGCATCATAGCAATTATAAGGATGTCCACCACCGATGCATACGATACTCGAGACTTTTCCATCCTCTCCACTTCACTGATAGGACTCATACTTGAGGATAATTGATAGAAGATGGGGTAAAAATGGCTTGCACTCTCGCATGTTGAAGAAACGCAAGACTTTCAGTAAGTTTTACTTCTGAGAAAGCCAAATCTTCCTATCTTTTTCTATCTAGGTGAATTAGCATCCCTAAAATCTTATTTACCGATTCCAAGTCCTTTAATATCAAACTCACTAGCCAATTGTGCCTTCAGTTCTTGGATTAGAGCTTTGTTGGGGCCTACCACCAACATGTCATCCACATACAACAACAAAATGATAAATCATTATCCTCAAGCCTCTTGTAGTATGTACAATGGTCTGAACTTAGTTTGTTGTATCCGAGGCTAATGATAAAGGAATCAAATCTCTTATACCAATACCTTGGCGCCTGCTTTAAACCGTATAGAGATTTGTTCAACCTGTAAACTAAGTTTTCTTGTTCTTCAAAGCCTTCTGGTTGGGGCATCATTTCATTGTTGCTTAACAATAACCTTGTGAGCGGTGGAACTCACAGGCAATACCCCTTCACATTGTTAGCATAGCCCAAGCACTTAATTCTTTCCCCAGTTTCAAGCTCTACTCGTGCTTTGGTTTCCTTGAACTGGTAACAACAACACATTTGACTTCCTCTTGATGTAATACACTCATAAACTCCTAGAATAAACTTTGCTCCTCCTAGGAATAACTCAGGTGATTCTCTTAAATCAGAATGAACCAAGTCTTCTTGTGTTTTCTTTTCTGGTAGTCAAACTTGCAAACTTCGATCTATGTTGTTGGCTTATCACACAGTGCTCGCACAAAGGTAAAACAACCTTCTTAAGTCCGAGTACAGATTACGTTCCGCCTTGCAAACTTCACTTTAACATATGTCCAAGTACGATGTCACGTCAACACCGTTTCTTCTTGACTTGTCAATGCAACCATTGCATTAGCTTTCTACAACGTATCTCCTATAAGCACATGTCATGATCTTCTGAGCTTTTATGACTTACTACAACGTTTCTTTCCACTTCTGCTCCGTCATTTTTGCGGGTTTTCCTTCAATTACAGCTATGCAATTGTCCTTGACAGTACTTTCACACTACCAAACGTTTCCAGTAATAACTCTTTTTTGATGCGGAAGATCGGATTAAACCGCAACTACAATGCATACTCAGAATTTTACCAACACTATTCTAATGACAATAGCAGCGGAATACAAACCTATAGCTCTGATACCACTGTTGGGTATCATTCATACAACACAAGCACACACAACTAAAATAAAGAAGAGAAAATACTGATAATAGGCAAAAATGAAAATTTTATACTAGTGAAAAACATTTACAGCACCTCCCTCTTTCAATACAAAACTTCTCAAAATTATGAGAATACAAGAAAGGAGAGAACAAAAGAGAGAATAGAATGTATAACAAAGGGAGTAAGAGGTTTCTTTTATAGCCACCAAACATACCCCTTTACAACTTCCCACCAACGGGAGACTTCATTCCTCACATAAATGGCATTTAAGATCATTCAACATTATCTAATTACACTAACTATTCTTCTTCGTCTATAATGTATGTAAAGGTTAATGAACCACAAAAAAAAATGTCCATATTAAAGGTTTTACAAAAACTCATAAGATAAAATTTAATAAAAATATTTACAATTAAAAAAGTTCAAATTTATTAGAACAAATTTCTCAATTAACAAAATAATAAGATAAGATATTATTAAATAAATAAGTGTATTTTGAAGATTCATCAAACAATCAATCTATTAAATAAAATCCAAATAACTTTATCTTCTCTTCCCGCAATCCCAATAAATATTACATGACATAGTATTATATATAATATCCTGAATAAAGTTTACATCAGTAAATTTTCTTTACCAAAATCCTCCTAAAAATGATAAAAATATTAATCTAACAAGTTTCATACTCTCAAATGTAATAAATAAAATGATATAGTATCTGTTCTTAAATAATTTCATGCATTATTTTTTTCTTAAAAACAGGAAATTGGAAAAGAGATTTGAAATAAAATTAACATAAGATTGAAAATATGGGAAATGATTGAGAACTCAAAGTATATCAAGAAGAAGGGCGTTCACTGGACAAAATTAAAAGATAAACTGCATGCTGAGTTTGAAAAGGGAGTTGAGACATATGTGTTAATATTCTAATGACTAATTTCTTCAATAAAAAAGTGGTGAATCAGTTCTTTTTCAGACTTTTTTTTCAATTTTAAAACAATTTTTTGAAGAAAAATACTTTCTTATTCAATTAACAAGATGACAGAATGATGTATAATTAAAACACTTAGTCAATTTACAAAAAACAAATTTAAGAAAGAAAGAAAAAACACAATAAACATGAATTTTCTTGATTATTAGTCGATTATATATGAGATAATTGATTAAAGATGAGATTTTTGAATTTTAAAAAAATAAAAATTGTTGCTTTAATAAATTATGTTAATGATTTAATCGATTAAAAACATCCATCTCTTAAACTCAGTAATTGAAAGAAAGGTTTAAATATAATTTTGGTTCCAATTTTTGTCTAGTTCAATTTGATTCTTATTTTATTCGGATGTTTAATAAAATTTTAATTTTCGTCAATTTGATTTTTTTGGTAGCAACATGTTGTTTCTATTTTTTCAAAATTTTGAAAATTTTTTAATTTAAAAAAGTTATCTACCGTATCAAGTTAATATTGTAAAATGTAACAATAATTTAAAAAAAAAATTCTAAACAATACTAGTTGCCAAGAAGTTAAGGGAGACTTGTGCACTTTCCTTTCATTAAAATTGAAAAATAATACTAGATAAATTAATTATAATAAATATTCTCACCAAATCCTATGAATATTCCTATAATAAATATAATACTATTCCATAATAAATACATCAATTAACCTAATTACCAAAGTTCATCACTAATTATACTTAAATCAAAACTAAATTAACCTTTTCTAATAGTTAGAATTATGTTAGCCTTAACTACTAATAAAAAAATAATCCAACTTACTAAATCAAACTAAAAACTAAATAACAAATACTAAATTTTAAATTTTAAATGGTAAAAATATCTTGTCCACAAAGGACGACTTTTTTTTTAATTGTCCTTTTGCTTAAGAGTTCATTGTCAGAAAAAGCTTCAACATACGTAATAAATTTTTTGTAGTATACTTCATGTTATCTTGATAAAAGGAAATTGTTTGTAATTATATATATTCTTATTTTCTTATACCTCTAAGTATATTAGAAATTAATAAATATTACAATAAAAATTTGATATTATTAACTATCAAAATTTGACAATAAACTAAAATTATTGATGATTTATCGACAATTAAACATTTGTTAGTGAAAGCATTGTTGGTAAATTTATTGACAAAACTTTTGTTTTGTCGATAGTTATCAATGGATTTTTCTGTCAGGAAATTCATTGATAATTATTGAGATTTTTTATTGGTGAATTCGTTGGTAATTGTCGACAGAAAAATTTTATAAGTAAATTTTGTTTGTAATTATCGATAAAAATTCGTGGTAAAATTTGTTAATAATTATCAACGAAATTTTTCGTTAGTAAATACCGCGATCTGGTTCATCTTCTTCCTTGTGTTCCCTCTTCTTTCTTTCAATTTTACCAATTCAAAAGAATGAACACATTCCAAACAAAATATCTTCAATCCAATTGAATCCTTTATTACAAGTTTTGATAAAATTTTGGAGAAAAAATTATTAAAGTTCATGCCAAACAACACGTTGCATGGTAGTGAAAAACTTTGGCTTTGGACGAGCTTAGAGTGGACAACAACTACGTTGCACAATGGTAACAATACTTGGAGTGTGAAAAAGGAAGAAAAGAGACATTGTCCCTCCACTGCACATGTTAGAAAAGAAGAAGATGAAGTGGAAGACCTAAATAACGTCGTTGTAGGCGGAGATGACCTAAGCTGGATAAAGAAGTGGAGGAATGTAGAGGCTACATCATGTTTCATTTACCGACGAATGTTTTCATCGATAAGTGAAATATACATTATCGATGGATTTTACTAACAAATTTTTCTGCTGATAAGTAAAATATGATTTAACAATATATTTTTTGACGAAAAAATTTGTCGACAAGTGAAAAAATGAGAAGAAAAATTTTGGCTTTTTTACCAACGATTTTTTCCGTAGGTAATGCGCATCTAATTTATCGTCGGATTTTACCGACAAATTTTTTTATCGATAAGTAAAATATGTATTACCAACGAATTTTATCAATAAATTTTTTTGTCGATAATTCAAATTTATTGGCAGATTTATTTTCATTGATAAAATTATATCGATAATTTCAAGAATTTTGTTAGTGAAAATTAATCAAATATGAAAAAGAAAGTTAATAAACTTATTTGTTCATAAGTATTGTTAAAGATAATATTTTTACCTTCTAATTGTGACTATTTTTTAAAGTACTTCCAAAGATTTTTTAGCTATTTGATTAAAATTAGTAAATAAAATAATTTGAAGAAAAGTAGAAAGAAATATATTACGTTTTTTAAAAATAAAGATATTGGGATGAAACGTTTGTAAATTTGAAATACCACTCACTCAACACCTTAATGTATCCCCTAATTTATAAAATATTGAGTCAATGGTAAAGTGAACCATAATCCTCTCGCAACCTTCATTCATAGCTCCTCCCTTGCATATCTCTTCTTCAATCCACTTTTCAAATTTCTTTCTTATATTTCGAATTAGATATTTTTTAAATTTGAGATACCTTCCAAAACATTATTTTGAAAAGTATTAAAAATAAGGAGGTGAAAGAATTTTTATCATATTTTTAACTAAGGATAATTTATAATTAAGCATACAATTAAGCATACAAATTACATGAAAATAGGAAAGAAACAATCACTTACAGAAGAGGAAAACGAAAATCTAGACTTGTAACATTAGGAAAAGAAAGAAGCATCCAATAATCCTAATGTTTTAGTTATGTTTATATTATTTTTTGATTTAAAAGTGTAATATGTATTATTATATTATTAAAATAAAGGGTCAAATGAATATATTTTTAAAGAGGGCGTCCAGAAACTTTTTCCTCTTGAGAACAATTATTATTGTTTAATAATTTCTTTTGTAACATTTAATTCACAAAATATATACTTTTATATTTTTTAGGTTTAATATCCAATTTTGTCCCCACTTTAGTTCGGAAATTTCAAGTTAGTCCCTTTTTAGAAATGTAAGTGCAATGGATCCTTACTTGTAATTATTTGAGTCTAATGAGTCCCTTCCGTTAAATAGAAGGAAACAGAGTTAGTGGACTGATGATGTGGCAGTTGTCATTGGTGAAGTGTCAAGAAGCAATTGTGTGCGTGCTTACGTTAGGGTTCCCATTTTCAAATTGGGTTTTATTAAAAATTGGGGATAAAATGATTTGGAGGTGATTTGTTGGAGATTAGGGCATGTTCGTGTGCGAGGAAGAAGACAGAGGCAGTAATCACAAATATTAATCTACTACTGGAGGAGCCATCTTGCGGAGTTCAGAGCGGAGACACTCGTAATCGTGGTTGGCCTCGGTGCCGCCCTTCCAGGGCAGGCGGTCAATTTCAGCAGAGGCATCAGGGGAGGGAGCGGAGCCGAAGCGGTGAATCTGCAAATCGAACTCCATGGCCTTCTTGAGGCCCTTGCATCCGGAGCGCTAACAGCGGCGGGATCGGGGGCCGCAGTAGAAGTCGGCGGCGGCAAGGGAGAGGGCGAAAAAGAGGAAGAAGGGGAGGAGGTAGGAGAGAGGGAGGGAGGGAAGGAGGAGGGAGAGGGAATGGAAGATGTATGAGAAATAGGAGGAGAGGAGGAAGGCCCCTGAGAAGAGGACGAGGAGCAGAATGAGAAGGTCCAAGGTTGCCGAGGGAGAGTGCTTGCAGTTGAACACATTGTTGTGATTATGGTGCTTGCAGTTGCACACAATGTCACTGTAGCGACCTGCCAGAATGATTGAAATGGTTGTTGGCACAAATTAATGTATAGAGCAATGTGTGGAATTGAAAGAGATGAGGAATATGAGAAAAATATCTCCCAGTTGTTTTGCTTTTTAGTTGTAATAACATATGTTTTGGAAAGAGAAATTCCTGAGGAGAAATGTAGAATAGTTTTAGAAAGCAGATTTTGAAGCTAAGAAATGAGAAGAGCATCGAGCAGGTTCTTACATTTCCTCCTCCCATCTGAGGAACAAGAGAGCTGGGAATCAGTACAGTTGTTCCTAGCATCACCAGGTAATGTTGGAAACTAAGTAGGATTGCCTCCGCTTCATTAGCAAATGGGAACCCTAACACCACGTAAGCACGCACACAATTGCGTCTTGACACCTCACCAATGACAACTGCCACATCATCAGCCCACTAACTCCGTTTCCTTCTATTTAACGGAAGGGACTCATTAGACTCAAATAATTACAAGTAAGGATCCATTGCACTTACATTTCTAAAAAGGGACTAACTTGAGATTTCCGAACCAAAGTGGGGATAAAATTGGGTATTAAACCTTAAAAAAACATCAAATAAGGTAAAAAAAATAAAGAAAAAGAAATCCAAAATTTATACCTGGAAACGATGTTGCATCCTCATTCTCAATCATTTATGTTTCTTTACGACAACTGTGCGAGTGGAATTAACAGACACACATCGTACATTCCTTTTCATCAGTCCACTATCACTTTCAAAGTTATCTGCAGTATATTCTCCATTTAGTTTTTGTCATGACTTTCGGTTCAAGTGGGGAACGAAAATGAGACCTACACTTTAATTTGGTACGAAGTCTTGTTTATATTCTTTACCAAATGGACCACAATATTCTTTTGGTTAGATAAGAATATATATATAATGATATATTTTTATACGTTTGAATATTTTATTTCACATATTCAGCTAAGATATTATAATAAATTATTTAATTAACTAAAGTATTAGAAAAATATATAAAATTAAAGTAATACCAAGTAAGGAAATTCCCACTCCACAACAGAATAAATAGGTGTCTCGGAGAGGAATGTAAGCATCCTTAAATCATATCTCTTCTTGTGTTAAGAAACATGTCTAGCCCTCCTTACATCAATGCTGCATTTCGTTCATCAAGAGAATATGAAGTGTATTTCTTCGCCAAGAACAAGTATGTGCGGTTGCATTACACTCCCGGGAAAACAGAAGATAAGATTTTGACTAATCTGCGTTCGATTAGTAGTGGTTTTCCATCACTTGCAGGAACGCCATTTGCAGAACCTGGAATAGACTGTTCCTTTGACACTGAAGCGAGTGAAGCATATGTGTTCTCCGGCAACCTCTGTGCCTACATAGACTATGCTCCAGGTACAACAAATGACAAGATACTCGCAGGTCCTACAACAATTGCTCAAATGTTTCCTGTCCTAAAAAACACTGTGTTTGCTGATGGCATAGACTCTGCATTTAGATCAACCAGAGGAAAAGAAGTTTACTTATTCAAGGGCAATAAGTATGTTCGCATAGCCTATGATTCGAAGCAGCTTGTTGGCAACATTCGCAACATCGGTGATGGCTTTCCTGTACTAAAAGGTACCATCTTTGAAAGTGGAATTGATGCGTGTTTTGCTTCTCATAAGCAGCCTGAAGCTTACCTTTTCAAAGGAGACAAGTATGTGCGTATCAAATTCAGCCCAGGTGCATATGATGACACTCTTATCGGTGATGTCAGACCTATCCTTGATGGTTGGCCCGTTCTTAGAGGCATTTTGCCTGTCAGCTAAACAAGTCATGCATCAACCATAGCCTCATCTGAATAAATGATGTTACAATATGTTACGAATAAGGCTTCCATTGCCAAAGTTTGTTTCTTTCTCTTTAATCTAACATTGGGATTGGATGTCTGTTTCCTGTCCTAATGTAACATGTTTGAATGTTTGTGTTTCGTTTTCTGTAAGTGGATGTTTGTTTCCTATCACCATGTAATTTGTCACTTAATAATAAATAAAAGTGGTTGGTTTGATTTAGTTTATACACTTATTATCATGGATATTTAATTTAATCCATAAAAATAATTTTTATAATTTATGGATAATTCTTATCAAAAAGTAATTTTTGGTAAAGTTGACTCTATTCTTTGCTACAAGAGGAAAGTCTCCATAATTTTCTTTTATAACTGCATTATCTCTTGATATCTAAATGCTTAAAATAAATAAGCTAGTTTTTCGAGGAGTAAATAAATTTTTCAAAGGCAATGAAAGGTAATTGTGATTGAATGGAATAAAATCATCAATTATGAATGATAAACTCTCTTTCTAAATATTCAACACAATTTCGCATTCAGAATTTCAATTTAAAAGAACCTATTAAACTTGAATAACTATTTTTTTTTTCTCTAAGCTTTGTTAATTGTGAGAACCTGATAAATTAATACACACTAATTCATTCTCTGATCACTATTTTTAATGCACCGTGACACGTCAAAATGCACTCACACTTCCACTGCATGCGCCTGCCATGTGTCACGGTTTGAGCATTCTGAGAATGGTTAGTGGGAGACAAGTGGCGTGTGGAGGTTGGGGAGTTTATTCTGCAATGGGAAGAGAAAAATAATTCTGAAAAACTCTCCCTCTTCCTCCTGCATGCTTCACCTTCTTCTCAGAATTCCTGCTTCCAAATTCTCTACCCTCTCTCTAAACTCTTTCATCTTCTCTCTAAGATCACTCACCATCATCTACTCCAAATCCATTTCAGATACCGTAGAAACCTTCCCTGCACCGTGAGCAGCGTTTTACACCGAACAGAAGTAAGATCTAAACCGGTAAGCTTCCAAACCCTAAAACGCTCCGTTCTGAGTTGCATGCAGACGCTGGTACTGCTGCATGTT